CCTTTCCCTTAAAGGCTTTGCTTTCCCTTGAAATAATGAAGTTATGAAGTTCAAATTCCCTCTGAAAGTTCTGTGGATACCTGTGCACTGTGACTATTTGCTGCAACTGAGCTTTCATATCCTTTCTTCACAAAGCCTGTTGCTAGAACATTGAATTTTAGAGTGGATGTTTCCTCTAGAGAGAACCATAACTTTTTTAATGGTTAAGTGATGAACCTTTCCATTGGATTTGTTTTCTGGGAGTTAATCCTTTGGTGATTTAATTTGCAATGGATGGTATCTAGAAGCTGTTAGTTTGTGTTTTGCCTGTCCATGTAGAGATTTCCTTGAAGTTGGTGCCTTCTTACTAGATGAGGACAATTTGGAGCAGTTATCTATCTCTTCCCGTGTCCCAAATACTCAAGGTCATAAATTTTGTTCAAATCCTCTTTCAGTCTCTTTCCCTGTTTTTTCTCATAAAGTGGATGGAGAGAGAAGGTGCTCTGTCACTATCCTTAGTTTTACTAACTTCTCATTTAGATTTACTGGTGGTCACTAAGCTTCCCAAGTAATGTGGGTTAGGTGTAGGATCAGTGGTGTGGGGGGGGGACCTTATAGATTCCCTTTTCTGTTCTTGTGAACTACAGTATTCCTACACTTATTAACTTATATATTATGTAACTGGTTCATGACTAGAGACAACTTCACCAGATTTGTCTCCATCTGTTAATTATTGAGGCTTTAGTTACTGAAGTCGTGTCATTTCCCAGAGGTTCCAAGATAACACTTAACTTTATGGTAAGAGAGACTTATGGTGTTTACAGCACAGTACCATCCTTGCCTTTATAGAGTGCAAGTAAAACAAGATTGACTTCCCCAGGGGTACTTTTTGTTGCACTTTCTCCTTTCTCTTGCCTTACTGATTATTGAGTATAAGAGCTGCCTGGCTTAAGGGTAAATGCTAGAAAGGGATTATTGGCTCTGAATCCTGTTTTGTAGTAGAGCCCAAACCCAGGTGGTTTGGACACCCTACCTCATTCCTTGGATTTTTGGATTAGTCTGCTGGAACTGAATTTCAAAGTACATGCAACAAATTTGTCTTGAATTTAAAGATATTTTTTTTTTTTTTTTTTTTTTTTTTTTTTTTACATTGGAATTAGCCCACCTGGGCACAGGTCAAACGACCCACAACAAGGCCTGTGGGGCGAAAGAAGAGCAGCCTTCTTGTGAAGTGTGCTGGTTGGACACAGTGGCTAAAAGAATATTGTACTGTACTTAGTATCTTCTGAAGAGTAACTGTTTCACCCAATTCCCTTCATGGGAGGCTGGTCTTGTGATGGGGACCAATGAGTAATTAGTAACTGTATAAAGAAAATTATTTTACAGCTTAATCCTGGCTTGCACTATAGGGTATGGTATAGAATCCATCATCCTTCAGTAGGCAGCCTGAATTTCAGGAGCCACCTGGCTTTGGACTGCTAGACAATAGGGTTTCAAGATCCATCTTCCATTTTTACAACAGTAAGGTCCTTCAGTCATACTGTTCTTATGAATACAGTATTAACAGGAAATTATATATATATATATATATATATATATATATATATATATATATATATATATATATATATATATATATATATATATATATATATATATATATATATATATATATATATATAAATAATAATAATAATAATAATAATAATAATAATAACAGAAAGTTATACATACAGTATAGTACGTACTGAATATACTGTACTGTATATACACACACACCTTTTGTTACACATGAACATTTCAGGTTTTTATATTTGCACACATTCGTTTACCTGAATGTTGTATGTACTTGCAGACTCTATGTTATAAACATGAATTATTTATTATTGATAAACATAAATTATTTTTTTGGGCTCAGTTTAGAGAATGTGAAATGCAGGGTCAGAGTTTTGAAAAATGTATATACCGGTATTTACTGTAATAAATTTTAAATATTAAGATACAGGTATACTGTAGTTATAAGAAAACCACGCAGCTCAGCACCCTATAGCCTATTTTTGATACTAACCCAATTTTTATTGAATATGTTGGCTTTGGCTGTAGCCTCCAGGAACTCCATATGTGGATCTGGTGTGGGGTTGTCTCCAGGTGCACTCAGTCTTCCTAGTGCTAATAATTTCCAGTTGATATCTGTGTAAATTTCCATCAATTGAAGATTTTACTTTATTATCTGAATACTTAAGGTGCATGTTAGTTAATCTATGTTAAGAATGGTAGCAAAAATAAAGATGTTGGCAGTATTAGGCACTTAGTGAAGTACAGTATAGTACAGTATGTGATAAAGACCTTGGGACAACCCTGTGATCAGAGAAGCTACGCAACCTCGTTTTCTTTGAGTGGCGATGGTTCTTTGTGACCCCAAGATGTGTGAAAGCAACAATTTTTATTGGATTTTTGCATTGGTATCATTTGGGCTTATTCTCCTCAATATTACAAAAGTGTGTGACATTGATTAAAGTCTGAAAAGTCTGCTAATATCTTGATCTTGATATTTGGTTGTTCGTTTGTTTGTCGTGTGGTTTTGATCAGTAACACTGATAAAATTTTTTGCTCTTCAGTGCTTTAATGACTGGCTAGATTTGTGTATGTACTAATAATATGAAACAGAAAAAAAATGTTAGAACACTGAATATGCGTTTGAGGGTGTCCGCTAGCTGTGAAAAAAAATTGGCACTACCCAATTGGATTATAAACATGTCTTCACCTCTAAGAAATGAAGGAACAGGGAGAATCTCATATAACACTTACCTAACCTTACTCCTTAACCTTATCCACAGTTTTTATTTTCTGTTAGCTATATGAAAATACTTTATTTCCCTTATTTCCTTTACTAATTAGTTCACACAATTTAATGCATGTTTTGTAGAGTAGCATGTAGATCTGCACAACATTAGACAATAAATTGTTATGTATATTTTTTGATGTAGTGACTCAGATTCTGTTGACAGAATCCTTATATGAGGTACTGTATTATAATGATGAAGTGGCACTCAGAAAACTCTGTATGTGATAAAAAACCATTACTGTATACTGTACTTTATTACCAGTACATAAAAGTTTTCATTTAATATTCATTCTACCACATAATTTCTTAATCACAGTATTACTTTTTCTACTTTATGTGGTGCAGTTTGATCATTTAAAGAAATCAAATTGATATATATATATATATATATATATATATATATATATATATATATATATATATATATATATATATATATATATATATATATATATATATATATATATATATATATATATATATATATATATGCTGATAACAACAAGGAAAGAAGAAAACACGAAGTTTCCAAGTGCTTTCGTGTAATTCACATCTTCAGGGGTGAGTACAGACTAAAGAGAAGTACAAAACAAGGTGTATATATACAGAGGAGGGTGAGACCAGGTCCACAATGGTCACGTATTAGGTAATGACCCTACTAATCTTTAAATAGCAATGGTCGGTAGTCAGGTCAGAGGGTAAGGTGACCCAACCTTCTCACCTGGTTACAAATCTTCTTAATTACAAAATTGTCCAGTTTGTACATATCATTACTCAAATTCATGTTGAATGCTTCGGTATGTTTAATGAGACTAGATTCTATGATGTTCCTACTATCAAATGAATTACAAGTGTTAGGATAGGCCAGGAATCCAATGCTCTGTTTGTTCATTTGAGGGATAACAAGCATTGCATTGACTGGGATAATGCCTCCTCAATATTACCTTGTAATTCAATTGATAGTAGGAACATCATAGAATCTAGTCTCATTAAACATACCGAAGCCTTCAACATGAATTTGAGTAATGGCATTTACAAACTGGAAAATTTTTTAATTAAGAAGATTTGTAACCAGGTGAGAAGGTTGGGTCACCTTACCCTCTGACCTGACTACCGACCATTGCGGTGCTATTTAAAGATTAGTAGGGTCATTACCTAATACCTGACCATTGTGGACTTGGTCTCACCCTCCTCTGTATATATACACCTTGTTTTGTACTTCTCTTTAGTCTGCACTCACCCCTGAAGATGTGAATTACGCGAAAGCTCTTGGGAACTTCGTGTTTTATTCTTTCCTTGTGGTTATCAGCATATACCTAGATCACGCGCACCTACAGTGATTTACTTGCATATATATATATATATATATATATATATATATATTCAGAATTTTGCGTGATTACAGTATATCTTGTGAGAGGATTCCGAGACAGTATGAGTCAAGACACAAACCTTACTTTAAGTTGTTCTTTCCTGTTCAGGTTCCCATGAGCTTCACCTTCCATCACTAATCCTTCTAATTCCCTAAACCTGACATACAAACCCACTTCCATCCTCCTCCAAAAATAGGGAAGACACACAGGCTATTGTATACTTTTTTATGGGATTGTTAGTGATTGCCAGCAGTGATAGCACCTTTGCCTAAACTAACAAAGATGTAAATATTAGTGCTCCATCCTGACCCTTTCTAACCTAACCCAATTCACCAAATTTGTGACAGGTTTGTGGGAACAATTGATAATGGGAATAGAACTATTAATTTTAAGTTACTTTGTTTTCTTTTCTTGAGATTGCATGTGTAGTTATTGCTTGTTAATATATAGTATAAACTTTAGAAATAAGAATTATATCTTATACTTGCAGTGATATATTCATGATATAAATGATATATATTTGAGTACAGTTGTACAGTAACGATTTTCAATAATAAATCACTTAATTTTTTTGCATCGGATTTACTGTATAAATAATGTTTAATTAACAATTGCTTTCATGACATATATTAAATCCCAACCCCTAAACTTTCATGTGGCATAAAGCAAGTTTCAAGTATTGCAGGATAATTCCCTCTTTTATTTAATATAATAGGAAAGTTTTGACTGCAACACTTGCAACATATTGCTTGACCACTTCAGGCACATTATTCTGACATGATCTATGTGTTTAATCGCAACAGTACCACCTCGCTGGATTGTGGAGCCCACAGACAAGGCATTTGCCCTGGGAAGTGATGCCAGACTTGAATGTAAGGCTGATGGATTCCCCAGACCCTCCCTTGGATGGAAGAAAGCTGCAGGTATGGTACAGTAGATAATTTTTTAATACTATAAATGTTATGGAAGTGAAAGGGATAAACCAGAGGAATATCCTGTTGTAGAAGGGGAACAAACAATGATTTATTCCATCTTGATGACACACACACACACGTTTCATCAAGATTATAATGGGATAAATCTCTTAAATAGGTTAGTTTCAGTCTTATGTAGGTCTTTTTATTTGAATGTCTTATTACTGTACGGTACTTTCTTCCTAAACCTTTGCCCAGGAAGAGGGGAAAACCCTTTGATCTAAGGAGGAGGACTCTTAGATTCATCATTAACATTAGAGTCTATAGTCTTTCGTTAGATTGTAATTTTACTATTTTTTTTTTCACATTTTATTATTCTAAAATTGTACAAATTTATGGAAATAGTTGACTTGATGTGTTCAATGAATAAAATCACAACAGGATTGCTATGTAATTAAGTACCTGTACAGGTATAGACCCGCAAATCTGTCAACAATGGGACCAAGACTGAACAGGTTTTAAGGATTTTCTTCTTCCATGGGTCCCTGGCCATCCATCTATTACTTTGGGCCTGCTAGTGAAGTGAGTCAAGTTTTGCTTCCACACACTCACATTAACTCAGTTGAATGTTGGTTTTACTTTATAAATAATAAAATAAAGAAAATATCATTGTCTCTAATGTAACATATGCCTACAGTATTTTCTTTATTATGCGAATTTAATATGTTAGACCAATGTTCAACTGAGTTTAGTGTGGGTGTGTGGGAGCAAAACTTGACTTGATCCCAGTGTAACAGATGGATAACTCCAGGAAAGAAAACTGAACCTAACCCAGGGAGGAACACAAACTCTAACCCAGGGAAGAACACTTAACCTAACCCAGGGAAGAACACTGAACCTAATCCAGGGAGGAACACTGAGCCTAACCCAGGGAGGAACACTGAACCCAATCCAGAGGAACACTGAACCCAACTCCAGGAGGAACACTGAACCTAACCCAGGAGAACACTGAACCTAACCCAGGAGGAACACAAACTCTAACCCAGGAAGAACACTTAACCAACCCAGGAGTGAACACTGAACCTAATCCAGGAGAACACTGAACCAATCCAGGGGAGGAACACTGAACTCAACTCCAGGAGGAACACTGAACCTAGCCCAGGGAGAAACACAACCTAACCCAGGGAAGAACACTTAACCTAACCCAGGAAGAACACTGAACCTAATCCAGGAGGAACACCGAACTCCAACCCAGGAGGAACACTGAACCTAACCCAGGGAGGAACACTGAACCTAATCCAGGGAGGAACACTGAACCTAACCCAGGGAGGAACACTGAACCTAACCCAGGGAGGAACACTGAACCTAACCCAGGGAGGAACACTGAACCTAACCCAGGGAGGAACACTGAACCTAACCCAGGAAGGAACACTGAACCTAACCCAGGGAGGAACACTGAACCTAACCCAGGGAGGAACACTGAACCCAACTTAGGGAAGAAAATGTCTTGTTTCTTGAGAATCTCTGGTTTTGTGAGCTCTGGTTATGAGGGTCTACAGTATACTATACTGTACTTGTATAATATTTAGAAGCAGGATATAAAGACTTGAATTTCAGTTTGATTTAAAGGAATCTCCTAATACATTGTACAGGCATCCCTCACGTTATGGAAACCCAGGTCAATGAAATTCACGCTTATGGAATTTTGAAATTATGACCCAGAAATTTGGGATACAGTAAACCCTCGCTTAACTGACCTGTATGGGGGGAGGGGGCGGGTCGGAATAGCTGATGAGTTGGATAATTGAGAAACTGTACCAAAAATACATTACTGCGCATAAGACACTCACTCGAGTTAGGTAATAATCATACGTAAGAGTACAGGGTACAAATATATGTAAATACAGGTACATTATACAGTACTGTAATACAGAAATAACAATACGTACAGTACAATCATCTTTATTTCACTCACCAGCTCACTTGCCTTATTTCTCTGTCGTAAGCAAATGAACTTACTACAGTACATCTCAGCTCAGTACAGTACAGTACAGTACTTCACAGATAATGTAAAACGAAAAAATTAAGAAAATCAATACAAAGGACTCGCTTTCACAACGAAAAATAAGAAAAATCAAGTGATGACGATGTTACTATACAGTGTACGCATAAGCTTCCTTCGTACCGGTAAACACACTGAGGCCCGCACCACATGCTCGGCTGCTTTGCTTGCAACGCTGCTGCCTCTAACGCTACGTTGCCATGTATACCTGCCGCTTACATGGTAAACAGCTGACCAGACCCGTCCTACAGGGGTGGGTCGGTTATTGGGGGGTCACTTAAACAAGGGTTTACTGCACAACCAATAAATTCGCTCTTACAGAATTTTGGTAAATTATAAAAAAAAAAATCGCAATATACAGTACTGCATATGACAAGATGGTTGTGGACCCACAACAACAACAATGGTGCTACTCAGTTTGAATTCATTCCTCAGCTTGTATTCAGTTTTGCATCTTGTGTTTAGGAAGGTATTCGCCCTTACAGAATTTGAGTAAATTTTAATTTTTTTTAAACATAAAAATCGCTGTACAGAACAACAAAATTCACTGAAATTATAAAATTTATTTCGTGTGGATTCTTGGTGGTTGCTACAATATGGTGGAGAACGGCACGCTTACCCACCACAGCAACAGTGGTGCAGGGCTGCCGTTTCGAGGAATATCGTCTGCCAATGAGGAAAACAAATGACAGTCGGTGATGTCATGAGGAGAGCCCGTCTTCAGCGAAACGCTATGTGGAATATATTCCTCATTGTTCTAGAAATCCATATAAAATGTAAAGGAATTATAATAATTTTTTCTTCAGTGATATATATGACATTTTTTAATCAACTCCTTTAGTATTTATCAAAAGATAATGTACAGTACATATAGTATAAATGGATTGTGGGTAACAAATGACTTGCAAAATCAAAATGGGACCCTTGACTGCTGTGGAACCCCAGTTTGATGCAGAGAGACTATTTTCTAAATTAAATTTAATGAAAACAGAATCCAGAAATGCTCGGCAAACTCCCTCTATTAATTCATTTATAGCCTTGTCTGAGGCTGTGAAATTCCAGGGTGGAAGTATAAATTTTACACCAAATCAGAGGAGGCTAACTTCTGTTTGATATTTTTTGTTCAATTAGTGTTTAATGCTCCCATGTTATGCTATAATATTATATAATTGTAGGGTTTTTGTATGTGCATATTTATATCAAACTAATGGTCCAGTGAAAATGATATTATTTACCCAAATATATCGTCTTGCCAAGACATTACCTACATTAATATCAAAAGAAAACGTGAGGAAAAATGACGTCATACAGTTGAGGATGAAACGGCAGCCCTGCAGTGGGGTGGCTCAGTTTGAATTCATTCCCCAGCTTGTGTTCAGTTTTGTGTCTGTGTTCTGGACTGTGTTACTGTGTACCCTTATTCAAGATGAGTGGAAAAAGGTCATCAAGCTCAAGTGAAACCAGTGGCGGTAAACGATTCCTTAAAGGAATTATGTTGGACTGTAAACTTGATTTTTTAAGACGGTAACTCCCAGTAACTCTGATTGCACCACTTACCTCACCACCTCATCCAGCACTCAATATCATTTCTAGTGAGTTAAATTCAAGTGTTGTGTGCATTTACTGTCATGTATGAATCATTGTATGTGTTTAAAACTGTTTATTTTCTTTCATATATGTGCTTGTATTAGTTTTGGCCGAAAAAATTTCCTTGGGACCGCATCTCAAATTATATAATGGGAGTCAGTGGGAAATTTTATCCTGCGTTACGTGATGGAACCCTTCCGTAACCTGGTTGATGCCTGTACAGTAATAGATAATGTACTGTTATGTTAGTGGGTGGCCCTCAACTGATAAAGTCCTCGTGTGGTTTACTCAGTTCCTCCTTGTAATTAAGACGAAATGGGTTTGTTCTGTGTGCTAAGACCTTCTCTTATCAGACTTCAGAGTACAGGTTGACAATCCTTTATCCGAAATCCTTGGGGGCCAGAGGCATTTCGGTTTTCGGAATTTTTCGGTTTTCAGAATGGTTAGGGTTTTTTTTTTTAATGTGTATTAGCCCACCCGGGCATAGATCACTGACCCACATTGGGGCCTGGGGATCGAAAATATAAAAAAAATTATAATAATAATAATAATAATAATTCATAGGTCTAGGTCGTGTTTCTCACTTTTGATCTTTTTTCATTCTTGTATTTCTTTACTGTATTAATATTATTTTATTATTACAGCATTATTATTATTAATTTTATTATTATATTTTATTATTATTATTGTAATCATTATTATTTTATTTTGGTGTACTTTTATTAAAAATTTTATTTACTATGAATAATTATTATTATTATAATTATTATTACTATTTCATTTTTGCCCCTCAGGCCCCGATGTGGGTCAGTGATCTATGCCTGGGTGGGCTAATAATCCCTGAAAAAAAAAAAAAAAATACCAATGACCCACAAAAAACTTTCGGTTTTTAGAGCTTTTCGGTTTTTGGAATTTCGGATAAAGGGTTGTCAACCTGTACCTGTATAGTACAGGCAAAATAATTATTTTGATCTGTACAGTGTACCATAAATTTAAGATAAATCTTGTGATATTACCAGAAATTTCAATTGATTAACCACATGTATTAATAAATTTTTTATTTTGATTCTTCTTCCTCTGATAAGTGACATCCCCTGTTGTTCTATCAGGTCGCACTCCTGGAGATTACCGAGACCTTAGTGTTAACAATCCCAATGTTAAGGTGACTGATGATGGCACTCTGCAGATTGGCAATATCCAGAAGTCTCATGAAGGATACTATCTGTGTGAAGCCAACAATGGTATTGGTGCTGGTCTGTCCACGGTTATCTACGTCAGGGTACAAGGTCAGTATTGTTCTCTTTTTAATTGATATCTGGCCCACTACACCAAACAGATTTTAAAAAGATCTACAAGTTTGGACAGTGTCAAATTTACTTAAGGATTATTTCTTCAGGTGAGAATACCAGACAAGTACAGTAAAGTATTTTTAATAGGTAATTCAATTTTTTGTGACCAGGTGTTTTTTATTTTTATATTCCTCATTGACCACAAACATGACTATGGTATTACCATCATCATCCATCCCTCCACCACTTAACAAGTCATTGAAAATCTCTTAGAATTTTTCAGTGTATTTTAAACTAACATGGGATATTTTCCCCTGATATAACTTCATCTGATTTTGAGAGGGCAGTTCTTGTTGCATGATTAGAGCACCCAGTCAAATTTTACTATACCAGTACAGGCATTTGCTCAAACTTTGCTCACAAAAATATTTTATGGGTTGATGTGTGGAGATAGTTGGAGCAGAATTTGTGAAAGTAAATTGTTGGTATGGATTTAAAAGCCACATTTGTCATGAAGTGTTGAAATTCCAGCATATTTTGTGCTTAAAAATGAAAACTTTATGATGTAGCACAAAAGAATTTCAAAGTGTCATAGGATAACCTGATGTATATTTTTCCCAAACTAATAAATAATTACAACTGAACTTTGCAGCTCCACCTCAGTTCAAGATCCAGTATCGCAATCAGACTGCCAGCCGAGGAGATGATGCCGTTCTGGAGTGTGAAGCTGAAGGAGAAACTCCCATTGGTATTCTGTGGAGTAAGAATAAGCATAGCATTGACCCAGCCAACGAGCCAAGGTAAATTATATATTTTAGCTGAGGATGAACCTGCACTATTGTATGATGCTGAGTTCTATGAAATGGCATGGGGACACAGGATGTGGAAGGTAAACACTGTAACACAGAATGTTGGTTACTACAGGTAGAGAAAACTAATGGGAGTAAATGAAAGGAGTTTCTGTGTTGCATTTAATTCCAGCCACCTTATTCCTAGCTGGGAAGGGTTTATAAGAGAGTACAGTACTGTATAAAACAGAAAGACTAGAGCTGGCCTTTTATATTTAGTCCAGTGTTCCGGCTTTCGAGTGTGACTGAAGGTACCAAATTTCCTATACGGTACTCTCGGCTATTTAGCAGAGTATAACTTATCTGCCCATTTCAGCTGCAGAAAAATTATTTGCTATACAGTAGCCCCAAAATTTAAGGATTAATTATTTTAAAATTTTCACCATTTTCAAATAATTTTGGGAATTTTTTTATGAATTAATATGATTCAGGCCTACAGTATTATGGTTCTTGACTGTGGAGAGTTAGATGGTTGACCAAGGTGTGAAATCTCTTGGAGTAATGTTGTACCATTTTTTTGCTACCCAAAATGACTGTTTGTGATTTTAGCATTGTGTACCTTAGTATATTTGCTGAGTGTAATACTGCAAAGGATATTTTTTCACACTCTCCTATTTTGCTGTTTTCTTTATGTCTGGGTAGTTTGAGAAATTGGATAGTGCATACAGCTTGCTTTCTTTAATTATTGTTATTTACAAGTATTATTTATAAATAGGTACACCATCCGTGAGGAAATGCGTGGTGGCGGTGTTCACAGCAGCCTCAGCATTAAGACAACTGACCGATCAGACTCTGCTGTTTACACCTGTGTGGCCACCAATGCTTTTGGAAGTGCTGACACCAACATCAACCTCATCATTCAGGGTATGAATAATTTCTACCTTATTGATCAGTATAACTTAAAGATTTGTGTGTGTGAGGGAGGGTGGGGGCCCTGGGAGGGGTGGGGTGAGTGCATGGGTTGGGGTGCTTGTGTGAGATGTTAATGATAATTATAATGAGTGTTTCTGAAAAGGGTAAAAATTTGGGTTATGCAATAAAAATAAATTGGTACCTATTTGAGCTTAAGGAAGTAGAATATATTGGTTAATCTCTCTGCTGCTTCATGGCATAAATGCAGTAAATATTTAGGTCACTGTACTGTAGAATGACCAATAGTAAGTTTATCTGTATTCCTAAATTGATCCAAATTGCATATATATATGTTCAGTGCTTTTGTGAAGTTAAGTTTTAGTATGAAGTGAGACAGGTTAAACAGATGGAAATATTGGGGCTGTGTTGTGGAAGAGGAACCCCTTAGCAGAGTGCACGTAATGAGACAGTTAGAATAAATGAACAACGATGATTGATGGTGAGTCTGTGCTGTTTCTGTAGACCATCCTGTGCCATAGTGGTGGTGAAGTACTTGTGAGACTGAAAAAACAACAACTATATTTATGCATTTTGTTTATGATCATCAGAACATCCAGAACAGCCCAACAGCCTGAAGGTCCTGGACAAGAGTGGTCGCTCTGTGGAACTCTCCTGGACACCTCCCTACGACGGAAACTCTCCCATCACTCGCTACATTGTGGAATATAAACTGAGCCGCCGTAAGGATTACAGAACATTTTTTAAAAGTGCTGATGATGTTTAAATGTAATTAAATTAATGTACAGGTATAAGTCTTCCATTTGGGAACAGAATCACATCTGTTGTGTCATGAGGTACTCGTACATGTGATTTACTGTGTAGTATCTGTTAAATGCTAGAAACTTATACTATAAAGTGATATTTCTAATGAATTACTAACTTATATATTCTCAGAAACAAAATTAGTATTCCTTAAATTCACAACTAGTGAACTTTATAGTTCCATGATATAGAGCTTTATATACTGCACACATAGAAAAGTAATACAGCTGAGCCTTAAGTTACCCAAGGGTTATGTTCTAGAAAATCCTCATGGACTGTTTATTGATTTTGCTCAAATCAAACCAATTTATGGAAAATAGGGGGATGCATTACTGGTTCTTAACAGACAGATACCTTCCCCCTCATTTTTTCCCCACAAAGAACAAAAGTTTTAGGTCTTAAATAATAGATGAATGTCATTCAAACTCAAACACTGCTTTACTATACATACATTGCTAAGAACAGTTACATAAATACTAAATATCATTCTATTCTGCACTGACTTGAGTCTATCCTTCACCATTCTTTTGCATAACCTGACAGCCATTAACATAAATAACTACAGATATATCTTTTTCTCTTTACAGTATAGACATTTTACTTCTTCTTTGCCTTGCCAGCTAAGAGAGCACTTGGAATGCTGACATATAACGCCCAGTTCCCTCTCTCTAGAAAATACCATTCCTGACTCACTGAGATAACTTTTTGACCAGCTGTGTCACCTATTCTTCACTACACAGCTTATGGCCAATTTTTTTTCATATTTTTTTCTTCTAACTTCTCTATATTTGCAGGAAACTGGGAAACTGATGGTGAACGCATGATGGTACCAGGTGACCAGAACATGGCCGCTGTGTTGGATCTTCGCCCAGCAACAACATACCATCTTCGCATTGTCGCAAGGAATGAAATTGGTGACTCCGACCCCTCTGACACTGTTACAATTATCACTGCTGAAGAAGGTGAGATGATTTTTGTTGGCTATTGAAGAAATTTATTTGGCACTTAATGCATAGATACAGTATTTGGGAACTTTTTGTGGAATTACAACAGTGCAGCAGTTAAATGATGGGAGAATAATAATAATTAATGGTTTATTAAGATAACATGGCAGCCCGAAGGCTGAAAATATACAATGAACAGAGGTGATAAGTTACACATGATGAAATCGGGGAGTGGGGTCACTTGATTGACAAAAGCTTTCAATACAAACACATAAGAAACATAGTCAACATAGAGATTAACTATAGATCTGGTACTGTGGGAGCTGGTCTTGTAAACATTCTTGTGACCTCACTGGATGGCTGTTGCATTATACCTGGCCTCTAATCCGCTCACACAGGGTGTTGGAGATGGTTCTTGTTCCTCATGTGATGTAGTTAGGAATTCATAGTTCCTCATCTGGATGGAGTAGGGAGTCCTCATTACTCTCCTGATGTAGTTTGAAGTCTTTCTTGGCTTCTCATCCAGTGTTGGTGGTGGTGAGTGTACTGCGCACTGGGTGTGTTAGATCTGCATCAGGTCAACATTGACTGCTAAGCACTGATTGTCACTCTAACAGTTGTTTCTTTCTTTTGAGTTGAAATTGTCACTTTTGTATATCACTTGTGGGTTAATCGTCAATCTTAACACTGTACTGTTGGTGGGAGGATGTTGATAAATCCATATGGGGAGGAGGAGATGAGGAAAGGGAAGGGCCTGACAAACCAGGCTGGCAGCTGTCCCCATGGTCAAGAGACCACGGGCAGCGCCGACATCCTCATCCTATGGAGGCTGGAGACGGAGTGTGTGTGTGTGTGCGTGCGTGCGTGCGAGTAATAATAATAATTAATGGTTTATTGAAAAAATTTCAGCAGCCTGATGGCTGAAAACATACATCGGACAGAAATGACTAATTACATACAAAGACATGGGGTAGTTGGGTTGTTTAACAAAAGTTTTCATTACTAAAAGGAGAAGGAAAATGAATTGAACATACAAATTATAGTTTACAGCTGATGGTTCGGGCTGGTCTCTTGCCCTACTGTGTGAGGTCACGTAGGCCACGTGGTGTAGTAACCCATCCTCGGATGTTGACATGAAGGACCTCATGTGGTCATGTAGACACGGGGTAGTGTCACAGTACCTCACTCTCTGCTAGGTGGTGTTGTGTTATCTCGTAGTCAGGTGTAAAGCTGACCCATTGTTGTTTCTAGGGTGGACTGATTAACACCGCCGGGTCAGAAGATGGTGGTCGATTCTCAGTGCTTAAACACTGTTCATCATTGTTCAATGCTGATCCTACTTCTTTCCAAAACGAAATTGTCACTTTTGATTATGTTGATATCCCAGTGGTGAGGATGGGTCGAGGAGAGGGACTTGGGAAGGGGCCAACATTGGCCAGGGCTGCTCCGCAGCTGGAGCGGGTTCCCGATAGGTTTTTACCCTCTGGTGGTCAAGGATGTAGTGTGTGTGCGTGCGTGCGTGCGTGCGTGCGTGCGTGCGTGCGATATACCAGCCATCTGCATTATAAGGAAAAAGGTTTAAAATAGTGAAAAGTTTTCAGTAACAAATTCTCTAAAATTTAAATCAGTTTTAGAACTTACAAAGTGTATGCTGGTTGAACACTAGAACATTGATAAAGCATTAAAGAAGTGCTGAAGATGTCTTATCTAATATCAAGTTCAGTGTGAATCAATTTTGTGATCAATAGCTTGTTTTAGAACTTAATATTATGGATGTCTTGGATGTTTATTCAACTCTCTTATGCCATTTTTTATATAAAATTAGTAGCTTTACTCCACTAATTTGGGTGAGTAATTATTCAGTCTTAACTGAATACTTTTTGACACTTATGTAACATTAACATAATATCAAAATGGATATTTAATATAGAAATGAAGAGAATTTCATTGCTTTATCGCTTTATAAAGGCCTTTAATGGCCTCTGTGTAAATTGACATCTGTTGTACAGGTATATGATGATGAAGATGCCTTTACTTGTATACAGTATGACATTGAGACTTTATTTATTTATTGGCATGAAATAAGTTCTCACATGTGTTCTGTACTATAGATAGTACAGAACTGGGATTACCACAATTGCAATTTTATTACTTTACGTGTATGTGACACAGCTCCCAGCGGCCCCCCACGTGATCTCAAGGTTGAAGCTGTTGATCAGAGCTCCCTGCGAGTGACCTGGAAGCAACCTCTGAAGGAGGAATGGAATGGTGATATTCAGGGTTACCAAGTGGGCTATCGTCTTGCTGCATCTAACAACTCCTATGTTTATGAGACCGTTGAATTTAGCAAGGAAATGGGCAAGGAACATCACCTCGTCATCTCCAAACTTAAGTAAGTTTTGTTTATATACTTGTACTTGACTATGATTCACTGACCTTTGCCAACAAAGTACTGTTACATCCTGGTGTATATTTCATTGAAACCTTCATTTAGCAGACAGTACTTTCAGTATTGTTAATTGATTGCACTGTAGTGAATGAAATATTAATTTTTTATTTAAATAACAAGTGTTGTACACTTATTCTTTACAGGGTTTACACAGAATATGCTGTAGTTGTATCTGCTTTCAACAAAATTGGACAGGGACCAAAAACTGATGAAATCCGAGCTTACACTGCAGAAGGTACACCCCAGCAGCCTCCCCAGGATGTGACTTGCACCACCCTCACCTCCCAGACCATCCGAGTGTCCTGGTCCTCACCACCTCTTGAAACTGTACAGGGAGTCATCAAGGGTTACAAGGTCATTTATGGACCCTCTGACACCTGGTATGGTAAGTGTTCAATATTTAGAAACAGTTTTTCCATGACATTTACTCTTGACGTCAAAAACTTTATTTTTAGAATGAATAAGCATAAGAAGATATTTTAACTAATATAAATCTTATTCTAAATAGAGACATTCTCAATGTTTTGGACACTTAATGTATTTCTTATATATTACTATGATTAATACATGCTGTATATTTTATGTTTATGTACAGGACATAAGTCAATTTCTACTTAATCCCTTGTGTACGGGGTCCTCTCTGTGCTGAATAAAATCATCCAGCATTGATAAAAAAAAATATTTAAAGTGGCATCCCCGTAGTGAAGGGGAAATAAATGTTAATATTTGCATAAAATTTTAAAATGTTTCACTGTATATTTAACAGACGAGGAGAGCAAAGACACCAAGATCACAGGTTCCACTGAGACTCACCTCCATGGCCTTCAGAAGTATACCAACTACAGCCTGCAGGTCCTGGCCTTCACATCTGGTGGTGAAGGAGTTCGCTCACAGCCCATCCACTGTCAGACTGACCAAGATAGTAAGCTTAGTGCATATATTTATATGATTTTTAACACTTTTTATTCTTTAAATAAAACTAATAAAACTGTTAATATACATTAAGAATGTATAAGGCTAAAAAAGGAAAGAAAAACTTCCATGACCTCTCAAAAGGAAAAAAAATTACCATAACACATGTTGTGATGTTTATTTGAAAAAAGTAGTATCATTTGAAAGGTAATGGAAGTTACATTTTCATATAATATTTTACAGTCCCAGAGTCACCCACATCTGTCAAGGCCTTGGTTATGTCTGAGAACTCAATTCTTGTGTCTTGGCTGCCACCTGAGCGCCCCAATGGTATTATTACACAGTACACCGTTTACTACAAGGAGCATGGCAAGAGCGATACCGAGGTGAGCATTATGAATTTGTTAATCTCATAGAACTGAAAACATCCTAATGCTGTATTTTGTGAATTATTTAGTAATTCTTGAATCATACCATGAACCTTCGACTCATTTAAGGACATGTCCATTGTATTTTACTTGCTCAAGGAAAAATTAATTATCATCCTATAGAATTAAACTTCACTCATTGTAACTCAGCTAGTTTTCTCAGTCAGCCAGGGACATACTTTGAGAACTTGAAGAAGGCTCATTTGGTGTTGCATAAAAGCCCAGCATTAGGGTGAATGGTGTGGGTTCTGTCCATTTGTGTCCACCCATTCATTTTCTTATTCACTCGCAGCCCTGTGTCTGAATTGTATGAATGGGTTTCTTTTCAACCAGACATATAGATGAGTCTTCCTACCATTTATATTAGTTTACAGCCTGATCCATTATGGTTGACTGGTACTGTACCCATTTTTTAATTAGGTCCCTGATTGGTTTAGAGGCAGTGTCAAAAAAGCATGATTTATCTCTCAATTTTTTTCTTTGCTTAGTGCCTTAGTCCTCCCAACCATATTCTGGTTTTCTAATACTCTTCTTACCAATATCATAATTTGCATGTTCTTCATTGATAACTATTGCCTATATCCCTTATTATACTATATACTGTACTGTATTATTTTAAATCAGGAACTGAATAAGGTCACTTCCTCTTGAAACTGTGAGTTATTTCTGTATTGAAGTTACAGGGGTAGATTATGGTTCACTTCTGTAATGCAAAGTTGTTAAGGAGAATAGTTGGGAAAAATAATGATGTTATTGGTTATTATTAAGAAGTAACAAATCATTAACCAGAATTTTTTTGAAAAAATTTCTGTGAATATAAAGGGAAAATAGGTTTCCAGTGAGTGTCAGTGACTCTAACTTACTGTATTAAGAACAATAACATCATTCATCTTCTCTCTTTGTGACAAAATCCCATTTTAACAGCTCCCTCCATCTACTGTGGTCATCACTCCATGTCCAGTTTTTATCTCCACATACACAAACTGTATCAGCTGCATCAGTGAAGGCTTATTGGTACAGGCTGAGTGGAAAGTTTTCTTTGAGGATTGGAAACAGACCTCTCCCCTCTTTTCCCACCACCATTATTGATTATATCTAAAAAAGAAGGATATTTGTAACAAATCACATGTTTCATTTTATACCAGACTATTCAGCAAAAGCTACTGGCATCTCAACTGAGTTATGAAGCAACTGGACTGAAGCAGCGTGATGACTATGTATTCTGGGTAACGGCCTCCACTACTGTTGGTGAAGGAGAGATGTCCCAGTTAGTTCACTTGAAGCTCTCTAACAAAGGTATTTTAGTTTTCTCATTTGTAGTTTTCTTAAAGTAGTTTCTTTCATTCTGTTTCCTGTAGAAGAACCTAAAACAAGCATATCAGACAAGTGAGGACAATTGAAGGTTATCTTTCAAAATAACAGGACCTTCTCCCCCCCATGCTATTATATATCATGTTTGTACTACTTATGTTACTAGTATATTATTTGTCAATCAAGTGACCCATTCCTCAATTATGTAACTATGTACAGTATACTTTCAGCCTTTTGGCTGCCATATTATTATTATTATTATTGAAACATAATCTTCATAGTAATTATAGTAGATTTTAATAGTTATTTTATGTCCTCAATTAAATGAGCAGAACCTGTTGGTCTGCTTTGGAATAGTTTTATCAGTCAACCCAAAAAAAATTCTGCATCTTTATGGTGTTATACAATATGACACACCGGACCAAGAATTCTGAACACACTCTGTTTACGCGGGTGATTCCTGTTAATTTCTCTGTATTAACTATGTGATATAAAAAATACATCAAACTGGTTATACAATGCATCACACAACCAGAAATATCAACCTTACCAAATTAACATGGCCTCAGTTAGTGATCGTTGCAGAGGCCATCATATCAAGGGTGCAGAATATTTTTTTGCTGACTGTACATGTAATGCTGTTGTTATTTTTACTTATCAGGAAATGTAATTATCCTTATGATAGATCTTGAAAAATGTTTATAATGATTTTGGTAATTTACAGTTCCTGCTAAGATTGCATCCTTTGATGATGAATATTTGGCTACATACAAGGAAGATGTGAAACTCATGTGCCAAGCTGTTGGATTACCAAACCCTGACATCAGGTATTAACCCTTAAGTTATTTACAGCAGTGCATTGAATATGTACGACTCAAACCATTTTTATCTACAGTACAATATTTACCCAAATTTTAGCCATGCGAGTACAGTATAACTTAAAGAAAGCAAAACATCAATCCTTAGCACTGTTTGTTGAATATACTGTACAGGTATTTGTATGAGATTTGCCTCAGGTAACTTTTCATTACACACACATACACACACACACACACACACACACAAACACACCTCTCTCAAACTTATCAGTGTTTTTGGCTGTACATCTCATTAACCAGAAAGTGCTGATATTTATTTTCTTATGTATTATCTCAGTTTTCATCATGTACGTACTTCTCTGGCTATAGGTGGACAATCCGTGGAGAACCCTTCGTCCCTAATGATCGCATGCGACTATTGTCCGAGGGCTCCCTCCTGATCCGTGAAGTATCCCGTGATGATGCTGGAGAATACACCTGCCACGTGGAGAATCCTTATGGCCAAGATACTGTCACCCACAAGCTTCTTATCCAGGGTAAGGTTGGACATGACTCTGAAACACATTGTTGCTATGAAGAACATCTGCATTAATGAAAGAACATGTGTTGCTTCTCTAATGACAGAGGAATTATGCCTTCTGAGTACAGTATTGATTGACATGTGTGCAATTCATTTTAATAATGAATAGAAATAGATATATGTTTTATTGATTAGATTTTATATATGAGCAACTAGTATGTATTATTAATATATTTGTCTTTTATTCCAATCATTAGCTCCTCCTCATCCTCCGGAAATCACACTTCAGTCCACAACCACCAACATAATTGAAGTCAAGATCAAGCCCTCAGTCATTGATGATACAACCCCCATCCACGGATACACCATCTTTTACAAGCCCGAGTTCAGCACCTGGGAGACTGTACAAGTTCCTTCCGCTACAAGAACCTACACTCTCGAGGGTCTGTGGTGTGGATCTCGTTATCAGATTTATGCTTCAGCTTATAACAAGTAAGTTCTGTCCAGGTTTAAAACTCAACTAAAAGGTTAGGGAGATATAGTCATCCTTCTATCTCTCTTTCTGATGTCATGTACAGTATAATCATTTTTGAAACTGGATGCTGTGTATTACTGTACAGTACTGTACTGTACTGCCCTGTACTCTTCTGTACTGTACTGTACTGTACTGTATGTTGGAAACATTGCCTTTGTATCTAATTTTGTACCACCAACATCAATGTATGACTTAGTAAATAAAGATCTGTTTGCTGATATACACATATTTAATTGACTTTCATCTGTTAGGATTGGAACCGGTGAATCATCAGAGATTCTCAACACTCGCACAAAGGGCAAGAAACCTGAGGTTCCCGAGGTGCATCGCTTTGTTGAGGTTACCTCCTCCTCCATCTCCCTTCACCTTAACGCTTGGCTCGATGGTGGCTGCCCCATGAACTACTTTGTTGTGGAATACAAGGCCAGGTGAGTTTATTTTTTACTTGTGCCGATGAGTTTAGGATGGTCGGTGCCACTTGTATCCATAAATGTAGTTATCAAACTAACAATAAATGTGTTGCAAAATTCAGAGTTGAAAAATCTACCTTGTTATTACTTAGTACAGTACATAAAATCACCAAGATAACTGTTAGTCCCAAAGGCATCCGAACTAGAGAGGTTCTTCTGTATATATTTGGTTGTGTACAGTAATTTTGTCAATTGTGAAACAATTTATTCAATAAACTGTTATTAATAAAATTTTGTAGTCTAAAATTTTAAAAAGTAATAATTGATGCATCATAATGAAATACTCTTAATAATAATGTTTTTGATCAAGATAGGTGTAAATGACTCCAGAAAGATGAATGCTAAGCCTCAGTCAATGAGAAAAAATTAACCCCTCAGCTTTGGGTCACATCATACGACGTTTTGATCAGTCGCGGGTCTACGCTTGTATTTGAATAAAAAGGGCAGGCCTGCTTAGATTATGTTGCCAATAGGTATAGCCAGTTTGTAAAGCTAGAATTTTTTTTTTTTTTTTATGTTCTTGAAAATACCACCCATAGCCTGAAGCCCAAGGGGTTAAATGTGGAAAGTCTAGGAAGCTAGCATGAAGGACCTCCTATTACAATACAGTATATCTGAGTATTTTTTATTTATTATTATTATTTTTTGTATATGATTAAGTATTACAGTATTATTATTTCTAAATCAGATTACATATAAGCTTTCAAACCACAGATGAATCAAGGAGTCACATCAGGAGTTGATAACCAGTGTTGTGGTACAGTGAAGTCAGTAACTAATAGGTGTGTGGAATAATGCTAGGAGGAACAATAGCTACAGTATATCACTATGTCAGGAGGAACAATAGCTACAGTATATCACTATGTCAGGAGGAACAATAGCTACAGTATATCACTATGTCAGGAGGAACAATAGCTACAGTATATCACTATGTCAGGAGGAACAATAGCTACAGTATATCACTATGTCAGGAGGAACAATAGCTACAGTATATCACTATGTCAGGAGGAACAATAGCTACAGTATATCACTATGTCAGGAGGAACAATAGCTACAGTATATCACTATGTCAGGAGGAACAATAGCTACAGTATATCACTATGTCAGGAGGAACAATAGCTACAGTATATCACTATGTCAGGAGGAACAATAGCTACAGTATATCACTATGTCAGGAGGAACAATAGCTACAGTCACTATGTCACAATAGCTACAGTATATCACTATGTCAGGAGGAACAATAGCTACAGTATATCACTATGTCAGGAGGAACAATAGCTACAGTATATCACTATGTCAGGAGGAACAATAGCTACAGTATATCACTATGTCAGGAGGAACAATAGCTACAGTATATCACTATGTCAGGAGGAACAATAGCTACAGTATATCACTATGTCAGGAGGAACAATCACTCAGTATCAGTTGAGGATGAAGTAATCCCCCCTCCCCCAAATAAGCTTATTTGTATTTTCATTCACTGAATTAAACTGAAAATGACATACAGCTCAAGAAATATCAGGAGTTCAGGAGTTAGATAATTCTTCATTTATATTCTTTTCTCATAGATAATTTCTCCAGTTGATGATGACATTAAATATGGAGTAATATTGATAGGTATTGAGATAGTGATTGACAGGTAGGTCATTAGCCCACAGGTAGGGATTAGCCCACCTGGGCACAGGTCACTGACCCACATCGGGGCCTGGGGGCGAAGATGTAATAATAATAATAATAACAACAACAATAATAATAATAATAGTAATTTATCATAAAAAATACAAGGTTAGAAATAAAAATAATAAAATAATAATGATATCAATAATAATAGTAATAATAATAATAATAATAATAATAATAATAATAATAATAATAATAATAATAATAATAATAATAAATAACTAAAGAAACACAAAAATGAAAAAAAAAGATCGAGTGAGAAACAAAATACTGTATATACAGTATGTTGTGTTGTCAATATTAAAAGAAACAATTGAGACCCTGCAACTGTGTGTAAATGAGGCAGAAAGTCAGATCAGCAACCTGGGACTTGGTCACAATTTTTGTGATGCCATATGGCAGCAGGGTCTACCATTAGACAACACATTATGCTTCCAATATCTTCCCAGGTGGTAGTACCTCCCTGTTTGATAGCTGCCTACTATCTACTACCTGTACTGTAGATAGTTTGGAAATAAGTCCTTGTATGCTTAGTTAAAGATCAGCTGAGTAATGACTACTTTATCCCCAGGCATCAGGCTGAATGGACAATGGCCAGCAACCAGGTGAAGCCCACTGGCAACTACGTGATCATGGAACTAACACCAGCAACTTGGTACAACCTCCGTATCTCTGCCCATAACAACGCTGGCTCCTCAGTGGCTGAATATGACTGTGCAACTCTTACACTTACTGGTGGTAAGTGTTTTACTTACTTGTTCAAAGGTTTATCAAGCAAGCTTTAGATACTGTATATTTATTTACATCACTTTGATATTCTAGTCATGCTCAGCTTATGTTGATTATTATACATCATAGTTTATGTAGTACAGTACTGTAGTAGTAAATTCAGAATCATATCCACAACTAAGTGATGAAAAGATAATGAAAGTGCCTTTTGATATAGAATAAATTTCATTGTCATCAAGGTCAGTTTTATATAGAAACAAAATTAAGATTTTTAAACATTTACCATTATGCTAAGATAGGCTGGTATAGTGGTGGGGGTTATATTAAGTAGCCCTAGTGAATAGAAATAATAGATTGGAGTAATGTAAGAGAGAGGATGATATACAGCTGGGAATGGCATTATTAGTACAGCTCAGTTTGCCATCATATTGTAAAGAAATTTTGTGGAATTTTTAAGCTTATGGGGAGAACATCAGCTTGTATTTACGAATATCATAATTCTTCATTTTGCAACTATTATATGTTCAACTTTCATGTGTCCTGAGAGTTTTCTTTTTTAATGCTTTAATGTTAATGAGATTCTTTATTTATTCTTACTTTTATGACGTAAGAGATGCATGTAAGACATTAGACAGCATTTAGAAGTTTCATTGATAATACTGAAGTTGGACAGATCTTATAGCCCCTCTCATCATCAACAGTGAGTGAGTATCCCCCAGATTAATGTGCTTGGAGTGCCTAGTTCTCTTGTCATTGTGTAGAATGCTCAGGTCCTGAAACTGTCATATCAGTCAATCTTCCATGTACACCTGGGAGATCATTACTAAAGGTAATTATTAACTTTGCCCTTCATTGTGTTGAGGACATTTATGAGGCTTTGATATAATAATTATGAAAGTCTCTGTTAGTTATTTTTATAATCTTAGTTTAATTGTAAAGCATAATTTCATTATAAGGTAATGATCTCTCTGGTGTCAGCTATTGTGCGTAATCATCTTTCTACAAACGTGGATGACTCCCATGTGTCATGTACCTTTAACAAGTGGGAGAGTTGAAGTAGATCACGTATGCAGATCACTTATGCTTGTCTTTATACATAGACACTACACTACACTACACTACAGTACATAAAGCATTTAGCTGTGAAAATTTCTGTCTGTCAGAAATTGCCCATTTGCAAAATCATGAAAATAAACTGATAATGAACTTATCATTATCAGTGTATGAATTACCATTGACAATAATTGGACAGTATTAAACTTGATTTACATGAATCCTGAAAATTATGAGATTATTCATGATGCAGTCATGCATTTGACTTTGACTTATATCTTCTATACCATTTAGTTAGTAATGGAGCAAGATTTACACAAATAGATGAATAAAAAACAAAAACAAACAGAGAGACAATTCTAAGGAACTGAGATGTTAAACTCTAAGGGTTTTAGCTGCTATTAGTCTAGAATCCACAGTACTAAAATTTTTGACAGTTCATCAGTACTTTAGATTAATATTGAGATCACAGTCCCCGGACAACACAAAACATAATCACCCTCACCATACAACTTCATGCTCATTTAATTATTAAACATACCCATGAATGCTCTTGAGTTCATCTACCTTTAACCAAAGTGAGAAAGGGTTTGTAAAAATATATATGAAGAAAAGAATGATAATCAAGTTCAATGTAGGAGATCACAACAACACTGCAGGTTTACTGTTTTATGTTGTATAAATCTGTATTAGATTAGTAAGTGGGGTACCACAGAAAGTTCATACATACATAAATTGCAGATAAAAGTATTTTAGTTTCATTTCCACTGAGAAGATAAAAAGCCTTCTCCACAGTATTAGGTTTTGATTATACACTACCTATAATAGTTTTATATAAAGTTAACCATTAGTACTGACAAGGTAAATGCTGTACATGTTGTAACAAGATAAGAGAGATTCTAGTACACTGCTAAGTAAAAACTCTCCCAATACTGTAGATAAAGTTCTCCAAGATAATTAGATATGGCTATAGCTCTCCAGAGGAGGGAAAATACTGATTATATCAAACTCATCCACAATATTATTAAGTTATAGCAGCTATCATCAAGACCTGTTTCATTTGAGTTACTGAGTTCTTCATCTCAGCTAACATGACACACATCATTTTAGGTTCTCCCACTCTGTGCTGTGAGGATAATACTGTATACTTAAGCTAGAAGACCAAAGTGCAATTCACTTGATTACATTTTTATGAAAAAATAGAAGCATTAGTTACTAATTACTATATGGAAGGGTAAGAATAATGCAGTTTACACAGCAGTCACATTGTGCAGAGAGTAGGTGCTCCATGGCAGTACAGTATTGTGAAGGCTTATTTTTCTTTGACCCATGGTAACTGAGTATAGAAAGCTAAAGATACTTAAACTGACACAAAATGATGCATTTGCTCATGTCAAAAAAAAAGAAAATATATATAAAAAAAAACTAATGAAAGTGCTCCTATTTTTATTGAACCTGTTGGTTGATCTTGGTTAAGTCACAGCTGAAAGACTTGCAATGCATCTTTTTTTTGTCAGTGACGATATACAGCTCTACAGTACATGATTGGGAGCATGATGCAGTACTATTATTAACACAAGTTTGCCTTCAATACCTTGCATTTTCCAAACTGGAAAGGAGATGAATCACTTTATACTGCTGGTAAAGCTACTAAATTTCTGTACCTCAAAAACTGATAATCTAGTAACTATTAATTTTTCCCTTCACCCAAGATGATGGTTATATCTCAGTGTCTCATTAGTTTTATTTGTGCCTTATTTTATTTTATTTTATTTATACAGTATTTTTTCAGTCTTTTAACTATTGTTCTTTTGGCATTTGTTTTTCTTTTGTTTTACGTGTTACACGATTGTTGAAGTTTGTGTGTTAATTGGCTGTGTTGCCTGCAGTATTGTGCTGGTATTCTTGGTGAATTCACCTCCTCTCAGTGCTTGTATGTGTCAACTAACAAGTAACGGTGTGCCATTTTCAGTTCAGGGAAAAGCAGGTCAGTTATTTATACTTAGCAATAATCTGAAGGGCAATCTTGTTCATTTCAAAATGCTAGCTCATTATCCAGGTGGTTTTCCTCTTCTCAGTAATTCTTCTCCAGGGGACAAAATAACCATTATTGTATAACATTTTGCCACGTGCAAATCTAATGTTAGCAGTGTATGATATTCCTTCCTCATTACATAGCAAATTTTGCTATAAACTGGTTTAATATATTTTGTCCCTTGCTCTTAATATATTGGGGGATATTTTTAGCAGGTTTGCAAGATTTAGGGAATAACTGTTAGAAGAATTATCACCTGGAGAGGGAAGGTTCAGTCTCGGGTATATTAGTGTAATAATCCCAAATAGTGAAATGATTTTATAGATACATCTGTTTAACCTGGACTGTTGGCAGCATGTTGACCAGTGAGCATTAGTACCTGTAAGGCGACCAAGCATCTTAACATCTCAAAAGCTCAGCCAGGCTGCTAATAATTTCATCCACATTTACAAATTGTTCTCAAACCTGGCTCTACACAGAGTTTTTGTTCACATAGTATTTTTATGATTTTTGTTGCATTTATTAAGAATTTTTAACATAAATGTACTTGAACAGCCAGGTTAGGGCACAAACAATAATGAATGTGGGCATCTTAACAGTTGTCATCAGCACAAGTAGTCACATGCATTCTATATACAGAAAGGTCTTCTATACCATCACTTAGTCTGTCATCCCTTGGAATGGGTTTGTTGCTCATATATGTATATATTTTTTTTAGTTTCTGACTGACAGAATTTCACATATTTGATAAAGCTGACATGTATTACTACCTTTTAAATTAATCTTAAAATTAAAAAAATATATACATATGGACATCCCATTGTCAAAAATTATTTGTATTTAGTAATGAAAGTGGAAATAAAAAATTTCAGGTATGCATAAAAGCAATCTATTAAAAAAAAGTACATTGACATCCAGAATGATGTACAAAGTGTTTCTTCTGATGTAGCTTGAAATTATTTTTGAAGAGTCTGTAATTTGAAATGAGCAGAGATATTCTTATGATCTTATTTAATGGGTGTCAAAACCATTAGCAGTGCTAACATTTCAAAAACTCATATGGAGGAGGGAACTTTTGAATGGAATTACTATGTAGAGTAATTTTGGTTATAAGTACAGTAGTATAAGATAATTACAGGTTGTACCTCTCTAGTCCGGCAACTTCGGGACCTGACCGGTGCCGGACCATGGAAATTCAACATTTTCCTGGATAGATAGTGACTTGTGCTTACGCTTGGAAGCACTAGCGCCACTTTCACTGCTTCATGGTCTCTTTGAAGACATATTGAAGGGTTAAATGTTGTACAGTAGGTTCTCAAATTTTGCGAGTTTTTAATTCAACGTTTTTTTATTTGGACACACAAAAAAAAAACACTGCACAATTTAAAATTTTGACGGCGGAAACTCGAATTTCGACGGGTTTGAGCGGCCCGCCAACGTTCAGACGTACACAAATTGTGCAAACAGCGTCATTTCTCTTTATGTACAAAAGATTCATTATTGTTTATTACTGAATGTTTTTTGATTGAATTAATGTTTATGTGTGCAAAATGAACAATACAATTCATTAATAATACGTAGAATATTAAAACACACGAGGAAACGAGACGGCATTGTTTTCGTTAATGTTTACAGAACCAGTGACTGATTGGTTCTACATATATAACTGAAGAAAATAAGACTCTGGTTGTAGTTGTAGTAAAATTAATATTGTTGTTTTAAGTAATGTTATTTAATGTTAATAAATGAAACCATGGAAGTAGCTAACCATTGATGGTAAAGAAAAAAAGTGAGATCGCGTATGTAAGTGAGCACATGTGAAAACATATCGTCATTACTCTACATAAGAATATGAAAGCAACACTTATTTACTGTTCATATATATTTTAATTAATGTTTCTGAATTTAAAACAAAAATTCTACCCACCAGTGGTGGTAATGTTGAAAACATAAAGACAGCCAATGTTGTTGTGTGTGTTTTTACTCGGATGACGAAGTTGCCAAGTCATCAGGTTCAACTCTAGCTGAAGCTGTAGAACATAAGAACTTTTTCTGTGTTGCTTTTAGTTTTATTTAACTTTATCTGTGTTATTTTCGTTGGTTTATTAGGATGTTGCTTTATTACAGGTAGTAATTTGCCAAAAAAGTAGGGTAAATTAGGGAAAATTTAGCCAAACATAGAAAGTACCAGACTCAAATTAATTTTCTCCATGGGCAAACTAAAATCGTTCCAGACCACGGGAGTTTCCGGACCACAGAATGCCGGACTAGAGAGGTACAACCTGTATTTGGTTTATATTGTCTAATCCTCTGTATTTTTGGAATGCTTGATGAGTTTATATTCATAAATTTTTTTTAAAGCCTATGGTTTCATTGAATTTGTTCACAATTTGTCTTGATTTTCCACAATTTACTTTATAATACTGATATAAAAACGAACTTTTTATATAGGAATAGAGACCTTTGTGTTGATAGATGCAAATGAGAACTTGTAGAGCCTTGGTAGCTTGTTCCTTGGCTGTTGGTGCCGCCAGGCTGCTGAGCGTGCGGTGTTGCAGGTACTATTGCCCCGGCTCGTGAAGTGCCTGCCTTCGGAGGCATCCCGTTCTACCTCAACTTAAACCTCATCGTTCCTGTGGTCTCTGCTGTAGTCGTCATCGTTTTGGCCATCGTTATCATCTGCTATCTAAGAGGTCGCAATGCCCCCATCAAAGGTATGACTGGTTATGGAGGTGCTGATCTGGTAATTCAGGATTGTTCTTCTTGTCTTTTGGACTGCATTCCTCTAATAAATATAATACAAAAGACATATATTTGACTAGAGGTATTGAATTTTACCTTCTCTTTTAAATACAACCAATATTTGCTTCTTGAGAAATAAAGGCGAGAGAATATGATCCATGAATACTACCTCAAGTAACCAGATAGGCACCTTCACTTGCATGTTGTGATCTGACCCTGTCTCCCTCTGGCTCTCTCTCCGGCTCTCTGCTTCACTGTTCTTTCACCAAACAGGTTTTCAGCATCATTACAGGTAAGATTCTTTTTAAGCACAGATCCAGTTTTGGACATAGGGACTGTTCATTTGCAGTCTCTAATATTTTTTTTATAAATCATCGCAAGATAGTTTCTGAGGTGATGTAGATGCGCATGGATAACCCTGCTGATCAAGTACTGGTGCTGCACCTACGAAGACCTCAAGTGAAAGTGAGAGGGCTGACAAAGCCATTATGTCATTGTGTTGTTTGCAGCCACGTTGCCGCCGACCGTCATGGACAGCCACGTAACCTGGCTTCCTGATTGGTGGCCGAAGTGGCTGGATCTCAATGTCCTGGTCCCCGTTATTGCCACCATCGTCGTCATCATTGTGGGCATTGTTGTCATCTGCGTGGCAGTTACTCGTCGCAAGAACGGCATTGAGAACTTGAGACTGCGAGGTGAGGCGAAGGCCATCCCGCAACCTATAACCAAGATCCTCTCCTTCTCCAAAACAATCATGGACTTACCTTTGCTATACTGTGTATGGCTGACAAAAACATATACCAATATAATTCAATTCTTAATATTGCGGTGGAATGCTTCATCCATAACCAATTCCTAATTTATTCATTGTTATGTCAGCATTACTTATTATTGTACAGTATATGCCATTTTCATAAAAAGACATAATGCACATACACCCACACATACCTCCCCCCCCCCCTCCTTTATAGCTTTCTAACATGGTATTTTATTTTTGCTATACTAGTATATTTGCAATAACTTTGTGAAGAGTTACATACCTGAAGTGGTAGTTTTTTAATCTCATGCATAAGGGAACTGGATATGACATTGAAAGATCAACATGTCTTGTAATTTATATGAAGCTGTCTACTAGAGATAAGTTTATATGATCTCTTTTTACATGACATCTATTTCTTTACATTAATCTTTGGCATGTTGATTGTAATCAGCAGTCAACTGTATCAAGGGTCAATGTTGGAGATCAGTACTGTACTGTACATCCAAGTCCAAAGATGCCTGAGTTTTTTCATAATTTGGTTCTTTCTGGTTTGAGATTTATTTATGTAGAGTAGTTATACCACCAGTCCTTTTTTTTGTAGATATAGGTGAAGAATTTCTTATATTTATACACACAAGTTTTAAACTTAATCATTAACCTCAATTATTAAATAAAAAAAATTATAAGAATGACTTTAACTAATGCAGTATAAAGGCTCTCTTTATTATTCTCTATTTCTTTAATTTGGAAAAGGATTGATGTCCATCAATGATATATAATTTAATACAGCATTAAGTACAGTAAAACCTCACTGATTTAAAGAGAAGGGGGAAGAGAGGATCTGAAAGAAGCAGAAAATTTGAATTGATTGAATGAAATTTACTGACAGCTTTTGTCTGTTGCACTAATAGAGACAGGCTGGACTGGAAAGGGTTACCCATACTGTACTCTGTGTATACAGGTGGAAGTGGCACACCCGGGTCATACCATGTTTGATGTTTCACATCATTTGACTGTATCATGACACTTTTTTGGAATTTACAACCACATCATGCTTTGTTCAGAATACAGTATCCTAAATTCTAATTAATGAGGTTTCACTGTATTATATATGTGATGTATCATACATTCAGACACTGTGATAGTGAAGAATTACAGCACAGGAATTTTACATATTCAAACTCCAGAAAGGAAAAATAGTATCAAACCATTTTTGTTTTTCTCAGTGTACACTGAATACTGTACCACTTAACATCATTCATAACAGATTCACATTTGTGGAATCCGTCATAAAAGAAAAAAATGTTTGATGCGACATTTAATATATATATATATATATATATATATATATATATATATATATATATATATATATATATATATATATATATATATATATATATATATATATATATATATATATATATATATATATATATATATATATATATATATATATATATATATATATATATATATATATATATATATATATATATATATATATATATATATATATATAGGAGTTACCTTTTGCAAAATTCATAAGCATTTCAACCAGTAAAGGAAAGAGTAAATAAGTGACCAGTTGTTACACTAGATTAACATTTAATTTGGAATGGTAAGTGATATGCCATTTATTTATGCTTCCCTAAACTTGTAAGGGAGCTCGTAGTCACCAACGTGTCCATCCGTCTCTTCCTCTAATCCATCTTTCATGTGCATTCCATAACATCTTAATCAGTAGCGGAATATCAGCAAAATTTAACATATAATTTGTATCTCAATAAGAGTGGTCACAGACTAGTATGAAAATCTGCATATGAATAAAGTGGTCTGGTCTCCCTGGGAATGCAAAGTGGGGCTGATGGACATTCTGGCAAAGCAGTGATGAATTGTAAACTTGAATTTTTTGTGTAGAAATGTTTTGATGCAGACAGGCCCATTTAATGTAAAAAAAAAAAAATCTTCTTCATTGTCACATTGATATGAATCTTTTCGTGACAAATCAAGCAGTAATGAGGGTTTACTGTACCGTACTTTGATAGATCTTCAGTTTGTGGTGATTATCTGTTAAATGAATGGCCCAAAAATGCAGCACCTAAATGGTTGAGAGAGTTTTATAACTGAGTTAATTTCTGACTAACATAAATTTTTTAGCAATAAATTAGTCACAGTAAACAGAATAAATAAGGTGTTGTATTGAAATTTATGTATTTTATATCTGAAATAAAATTAATGGAAGTAAAAGCAAGGCATGTAATAAATCATGAATTTGTCAATACTGTAGTACATTAATTCATGATAACAGTGTACTGTATATATTGGTATATTTATGGTATATATTTTACAGGCCCCAGGTTAGGGATTCTGCTGCCATATACAGTACTTAAAATACTGTACAGTATTGAAATGTTTACTCTTCGTCATCACTCAACATTAAGATAAAACATAGGAATGACTGCCCTTATATTTAACTCCTTCTCATTAGAGTTCCTCATATACAAGAATGACCAGGAATTAACCCTTTAACTAAGATTCACCCACTTGTGGATTTCTTGTCAACTGGTTGCTGAATTGAGATGCCACTTCTGCAAATTCCCTCCATATTTCAGTGTTTAATATTATGAAATCTTTTCAGATAAAAATCCATAATACTGTACAGTATTAAATTTTGAAAAAAATGCACTACGTGGCTTTGTGACTCACTTAACAATCAACTGCTAATCAACTTGTATGAATTTCATTGATTGTTAAGGAAGCCAAAAGATAATAGTGCTCTAGGTTAAGAACTCAGGTAGACATAAGCTGTGTCAGGAATTGGTTGATACAGTTTATAGTGTACATTTAGGGAAAGCACTGTGTAGCATTTCTTTATTAGTTAAAATAGAGTTTTAAGTATTAGGCTGATAAGCAGTAAATCCAATAAAACTTGATTTAGATAAATTTTCCTTGTAAGTAGACACATCAAAATTGAATTTATATTTTAGATCAGTAACGTGTATAGAGGCTGTTCCAAAAGTAAGTTTATCTTCCTCCTCCTGACCCTCCTCTTCTGCCAGTTGCAGGAATGATTTACTGGTCACCAAGAGTCCAAGTTATAATATTTTGAATGTCATGTGATGAGAAGGCGAGGAGGAGGAAGGTAAATTGACATTATGAACATCCTGTAAATGAACTGAATTTCATAGTGTTAGTTGTGGTCATAACTTTATAGTGTTAGTTGTGGTCATAACTTTATAGTGTTAGTTGTGGTCATAACTTTATAGTGTTAGTTGTGGTCATAACTTTATAGTGTTAGTTGTGGTCATAACTTTATAGTGTTAGTTGTGGTTATAATTCTATAGTGTTAGTTGTGGTCTTAACTTTATAGTGTTAGTTGTGGTCATAACTTTATAGTGTTAGTTGTGGTCATAACTTTATAGCGTTAGTTGTGGTCATAACTTTTAAGGAGAGAATGAATAATGGTGAAAAAAATGAGATTCTACATTGGTGTTGATTCTGGCCAACCAGTGCCTTAGCAGGAAAAAGATTATAAAGATGAAAAAACAGTATAAAAGATTAGACCTAAGAGGAATTTATGATTCTGTTGTGTAAAGATGAAAATACATTTTGGTACCATATTAGGCACAAGAGTATTTAACATACAGTAGTTGTGTTGTTCAAAGAGACAAAACAAAGGAATTCCTTTGCTTCAGCTGATGCTTCAAGCTCTTCTGTCTAGTGCTAAGTAAATTCAGGGGTGGATCCAGGAATATCAAAAGGGGGGTCAAAGAAGTTGTGGGTGGGGAACATGGCAGCGAACGAGCCCACCCACCTGGGAGGGTTTGGGGGCATTATAAGCCTCTCCCCCCATCCCCCCCCCCCCAATTTTTTTTTATCTGGCCAATATCAGGGGCATTTTGAGGCCATTTTGAAGCCATGTGCTCTTGATATTAGGAGATAACCTGAGGTCAATAGTAATTACACAAATGACTGAGTACAATACTGCATTAAAGAAAAAAAATGGAATTTTCTGATAAAGGGGGGCTCCTGTCCCCCAAGACCCCCCCAGGATCTGCCCCTGAGTAATGCTTCATTGTTGCTTTACATCTTTAAAGTATATACATATGTAATCTTCAGGCCAAGTAAATAGTGCTTATGATTCTTTTTCTTAATAATTTTCATACAACTTGTACAGTAAAATGATACATATTTTGAATTGCTACTGTAAGCATAATTGGAGTTAATTTGTTACAGATAGGTACAGTATGTGCACCTGGTAAGAATTATTGTATACAGTAGCTTCAATAATAACCTTAGTATAAAGCATATATGGATTTAAGATTTAATCACATTTTTTTTTTAATAACAAATAATTTCTTGCTGAAACTTCTGATTTTTTTTTTACATAATTTACCAGTTGTTTAAACAGAAAAATGAAGTCTTTACTGCGGTTAACATTTGAAGTTTTTTCATACAGTAGTTCTGTATAGATATTGTACAGTATTTGAAATTACAGTGTTCAGTTTTATGTGGTATAATTTCTAACTGAATAAGGTGATTATTGTATTAAAAATTGGTAACTAATAATTGTATAATTTTGGTGTAACAGAGGAAGTGTACCAGCAGTACCAGTACAACGCCAGCATGCCACCACCTTCCACCATGGACAAACGTCACCCAGGTTTCCGCGAGGAGCTCGGCTACATTCCACCACCCAACCGTAAACTCCCACCTGTTCCAGGCTCACAGTATAATACTTGCGACCGTATTAAGCGAGGTATGACACGTCTCTTCTTCATTTTTTAATGTTGTTTAGTAATGAGAGATAATTTCTTCCTTTCAGAATGTAATACAGTGTATTTTATTAATGCTGAAAGGAGATGCCTGATAAGTGAACTGATAATTCTCTAACGGCTGATCCTTTGAGATGTTATATAATGAGTACAGTACAGTAGGTTCATATCAAACATTATGATATAAGTTATGACTGATGCCTCATATGTTGTGTGAGCATTTGATTGTAATTGCTACCACCAGACACTACATTACCTTAGGTGAAGCAGACATCTGCTTGCCACACTGTTTATGCAAATTTTGAAGTCATACTGTAAGTAGTATTGATAAAGGACACTCGTTCTTTATTTTTTATTCCCCCTTGTATTTTGACTGTGCATCAGAAGCCCAACTTTCTCAGCTTTGTAGATGAAGCAAGTCAACTTTTTATTATACCCAAAGAAGCACAGAAACCATAGTTTTGAATGTAGATTAAATTTCTCCACTGCGGTTCATTAGTGTACCCAATCATAGATGTTTTCTCTACCTCCCCTCCTCCCCAACACATTGTATTTGTAGATGATTAGCCACACTGCAGGGAATGATGAGAGACCTCAAGTAGGTACGGCACAAAACATGTCATTACAAGGCAAGTGGTCAAAGTACACTCTGTTCTAAGAACAATGTTCATATTGAATTATTGAGAGTGCATGATGTCCTAGGTATGCTTTCCGTCTTTTATTTTTTATTCAAGTTGACTTTGAAGATATACCTGATCAAAGTAAACTTTTGCAAAGTTTACTTTAATTAAAGTATTTTATATTTAAGTTCACTTGACAAACACATGTATTAAGTAAAATGTGTTAATTGAAGCTACATTTGAATGTTTCAAGTTTATCTCTATCAAGTATGTTTGTTGGGAGCACACAATCATGTCCTGCTGGTTTAAACATACAGTACTTTTATTTTCTTATATGTTTAGGTTTTTGGAACACTACCATATTTGCTACTTATATGGAGTTTCAAACAAATTCATAAAGTTTGCTGCTTGTATCAGATATACATTTTATTTTTTAAGGTCCTATAAGTATGATTTAATGCTGATTTGCTTTTTTGAATATGTAAAATGGTATGTATTTTATGAGCTTCGGTCCTGGCAAAGCTATATCTTTCTTCTTCTTTACTCTATTTACACTTGCTTGCAATATTTCCTGATATTTTATTTCTTTGTGCTCTTTAGATTGGTAAAATATCACCTTAATGAGGATATTATGGCCATGCAAAATGAAACTAAGGCATAAGCTCAAGTACAGTACAGTACTGGTAGTACAGGTACGAGGAAAAAATATGTACAATATGAGTTTCCTATATGAAGGCCATTTCCCACAATATACAGTACAGAGTCACAGCTCTTAGGAGGAGACTGGTGAGTGTGGCTCGGGATGCTGATCTCACATACTCATTTGCAGAATAACAGCTTGCTAGTACAGCTCCTCCCTGACTTAGGACCTGCTCGACTTGCGACCACCCAGACATACGACCGCCTCAGTCGTACCAAATTGTTTTCAAATTACGTATTTTTGAGTCCCAACGTCAGTGATTGCGCTGCGTACTGACAAAATTTTTGTTTGTAATTCACTTTAAAATGGCTGGCAAGCTTAAAAGTGAGAGTTTTGTGGTGCTGAGAAGGAAAAGAGACTCCCATTTTAGATTTTCTATGTATTATTTAAGCATTTCGACTTACGACTATTTCGACTTACGACCTGGATTTGGGTCCCTAACCCCGTCGTAAGTCGGGGAAGAGCTGTAATGTCTGGTCAAGGGATTGAACCTATATCTCATGTATGTATATAGTTATTTATTTAAATGCTGAGTATATTTGATGATATCTGCATTTATTTTAATGTTTATTATTGCTTGTCTTTTGTTTACAGTCATGGTGTAGACATGGTCAGTCTTATTGTTTGTACTGTATTACTGTAGTGGTTCACTACCAAGATATTTTTATAAATTTGGTGATAACTGGGGGGACGTGCTGGCATTGCCATTTAGATTATAAAAAATATGAACTGTATTATTATTATTAAAAAAAATTGGTAGAGCAAAAATTACATATGTAGCATAACATAAATATCCTATAGTTAATTGTTTTATTTATCTTTAGCTAAAAAACAAAAACACAGTGATATTGATACTATACTTACAGTCCTAATGCAATGTGGGATAAAATAATGTAAATAATGAATAATTATTTTTCTAGATTTGGGAAACCTTTTGCTAAACCCATTAATTTGCAAAATATTTTTGGTATATGTATATTTCATCCGAAACCTTACAAAGGAAACTTTTGGTTATAGAATTTGAAAATGTTTTATTTGGTAAATACATCGACCATTATTACAATCACTAGCTTCATGGGGTAGAGTAACTGATATTGCAGTTTGTGATGGAACTCTCCTAATATACTGTAGTGGATAATAAATATTACCTAGCAGTGTTTGCAAGTCATACTTCATTGCATAAGACAGTTTGCTACTAATTTTTTCCTATCTTTTGTCCCTTACAACTGCTCACTGTCCTCTTTCTCCCTTTTAAACAAAACAAATGTATTTCATAAGCATAGATACAAGTTTTGACTAAATTCTGGACACAAAATTAAGTCTTGGTTGTTTTATGAATATTGCTGATGTCTCATATGCTTCATGTGATTGCTTCCCTTCCTTAAAATTTAAACAGTTGTTTGAAAACAAGAATTAATTATTTATTGTTATTAAATTTACTAATTTTTACTTGAAACATTTTATTATTGATAGTTATATAGCCACAGAGTGTATGATGATTTTGTAAGGCACAACTTTATAAGTTCTAATCCTATCTGTGTGTCTTAGCATATTGTGTTTCTTAGATCAAAGAAAAAAACATTTACAGAGCAACCAAAAACTCTACCTTTTGGCTGCTTTGGGGCTTATGTTTTACCTCCTGGTTCTTCCTCCCTGTCTTTCTCAGCTGGGACCGGCCGGCTCTTGTTTTTCTATACTGGCTTAGCCACACCTGTCACTGCCATCAAGCTTTTGTGTTTATTTATCAAGCAAACTTAGCACATCTTGATGATTTTGTACTATAATAATTCTACCTTTGTAGAATTGCATGATTACTTTTGTTTTATGAATTTTTGTGTCTGTAAAAAGGTATAATATATAAAAAAGAAAGAAAGAATGATACATACTGAACACAAAGATTCCGTAGTATGGCTGTGACAAACTCAAATACCGCTTGATGTAGTTTGTGTTGCGCTTCTTGTGTGTTGAGTGGGCGGCTGTTGGTTGTCTCTCTAGGTGGGGGGTCGGGTCGCGGCACACATGCCACCTGGGACCCAAGACGCCCAATGTACGAGGAACTCTCCCTCCATCCCCCCCCTGGACGACGTATTCCCCCTGGAGGGCCTCCTCAACCCCGTGGCTCCCAGGACACCCTAAGATCAGGTGAGGTTTGCTAACTATCGCATGGGAACGAGAACGGAGGATGACTTTACTAAAAACAGATTCTATTGCTCTTGCAAACTGTGGTTTTGCTCTTGGTCAGTACCATGGATGATATTCACTGCATAAAAATGAGCCAATGGTTGTTTGTTCCTGCTAAAACTCTTTATTTGTAGAGTGTCATAGATACAAAAATGCTCATCAAATACAGTACAGTATACACTACAATATTGTGCATAAGTAGAATTAATTAATTCATACAGATAAAGGTATTCGTTGGATAAAAAGTTTCCAGTACAGCGTTTTAATCACTTCAAAGTACAGTATGGTAATTTCGTAAAAAGTAAAGAGAGTAATTTAGGTTATTTTACTAAATTATTTTATTAACATTTTAAAGTGTATTTTAGGCTTTAATATTGTATATTGATTTGTTGTTATATAAACAAAAACAGGGGGCAGTGAATTTAGCCAATCAGAGGAGGGTTTGATAAATAAATTATCTCTTAAAACAGTTTTTATGAGGCAATAAAGTGAAAGGCCTCACACACCCTTCTGATACATTATTTGACCATATTTTCACACAACATTTATTAGTCACATATTTATTCAGCATTCATAGGCCAAATTCACCTTATGTGTCCCACTTGTATGTCATCTACACATCCTGAAATTCTTCATAATTCTAACACTAGTTACCAGTTTTCATATTTTGTTTATCTTTTTACACACACACACACACACACACTCACACTCACACTCACTCACTCACTCACATACACAATTTTGCAGGAAAAGCATGAAATTTTGCTTTACAGGTCTTAGCCATTGAAGGTATTATATGTTTTGGTTTTTTTTTTCAGGAAAAACTTGAGTTTGGCTTTTGAGAATATTCAGGAAAGGGCTTTTAAAGTTTGCTTCTGAGGCTTTTCAGCAAAAGCTTTGAATTTTGTTTTAAAGCTTAAACCTTTGAAGATGGGAGAGTCTCTTATTAAATGTGTTGAATTTTGCTTTTTGAGACTTAAAGGTGTTAGTGACAAAATATTTATGAAAGAAATGTAAAATTTGCCTCTCTACCAGTGAAGGATGTACCAATAACTGTGCACATTGTGGTAGTGGCAAACTGGGGTAATAGTGGGAATTGATAGTGTTAGTTACTATGGTGTTGACAGGTTCAGATTTAGTTATAGAGTGAGATGGATCTGGAGAATATTAATGTAAAGTTCCCAGAATGGTGTTGAGTGTGGCACAGTAAGATCATGGATAAAGTTAGCTCTTCACAACTGAGAGGATGTATATCTCTTGTATGACCAAAGGGAAATTGTATAAATGTTCCTTAGTTACTCTAGGTTGTTTAAATAATTTTTAGCTTTATTTGTTGTATAAATAACTTACATTTAGCTCATATAAATGATGAGAGTACAGTATCATGAAAATGATTTGATAACAGATTCAGAAAGCTGAATCTGAAATATAAATGCAGTCAAAATTTAAGTATAGAGTCGAATATAGGTACTGTATACAGGATTCCCATGCAAAAACAGTCAAAAAGGTAATTTCTTCAAAGATTAATTGCTCATTTGGAAATACCAATACCTGTACTGTATAGATTTAGGAGTAAAGTACAAGTACATATTTCTCATTGGTTGACAGTATGTTGGTGCCTTAACTTAGTTATGGGTAGAAATTAATCAGCTACATTATTTACACCTACTATAGTTATCATCCAGCTTCAGGTTATAAATTCAGTTGCAGTAGAATAGGGCTTACAGAAGATTTTTTATGAAAGAAGACTTAATACATGACATTACAATGCTTATTAAAATACTTGTACATGCCAGTTTATGTCATTAGTCATATTAGGTATTAAGTAGAGATATTGACTGTTTAAAGTGGTATCTGGCTTGGTTTTGAAAACATCCAAACCCTCCGTTCTCTGTTCATGTAAGCAGACACCTGTAGCACCTAGACTCTCTCCTCTAATATGCATTTTGGCCTACAGCTTGACTTACCATAATGTGCATGGCATGTACAGTTTAGCTCTTGCTGCTCCACACACAAGTGGTAAGTAAATACTGGCTGTGTTTGCATATAATGTTGAGTAGGATTGAAATTATTATCTAGAAATGTCCTATTTATTTGTTTTGTCTGTAAAATAAATATGTATATATTGTACACTTTACTTAAAATTCTGTATTACAAACACATAATAAAATACTTTAGTGTTACCAGAATATGTCTGTAAGTGACTGTATGCCTGGCTAATCTAAGACTGTATATATATTTAGTGTGTCATTACTAACTAATAGAACATCCTTTAACCCTTTAGCTGGGGTTAACTTCCACCAATACAACACAGTACTTTATTTTACCAATTTGTAGTTACATTTGAAGAAAAAAATCCCAATGCTCCAAGGCCACAATTAAATAATGTTGCAAATAATAAACAAAGTATCTTTTGATTATTCCATGAATGCTGCAAGATTAATTTCAATAGATAGAAAGAAAGAAAGACCTTTACTATCACTTATCAAAGTACTGTACCATATTGTATGAATTGCACATGTACTTCTCAGTAATAAAATTTTTACAGGTCATAATTTGGATTACTGTATCTTGATTGGTTATTATTATTATTTTTTGTGGTGCTTTTCCATGCCAGACTATGTACAGATTGGTTTACTATTCTGCACTTGATGCACGAAAAGGCATAAATGAAACAGTACAGAATACTCTTGTCATATTTTGTGGACCTTGAATGAGTTGTATTTCTTTCCAAAATGTGATTAAGATTTTCACACATCAACATGGAGGTGAAGTCTTCCTATTGTTTTATAGTTCTCTGCTTTTTGTTGCAGCTGTAAATATTTGTTTGCAGTAATGTACAGTTTGTGGTTTTGCATTCATTGTGTACTAAACAGAAAGGTTATTTTAGCAGAATTTGTTCAGTTGTTGTTTTATGAATTTAAGGGTTTAAACTGCCATGGTCTTAAGGCATTGTTCACTAAGACTTAAGTTTCTTCATTAGACAAAGACCTAAAAATCGTGAATGATAATATTTTATTCAGTCTTCATTGTCAGTGGAATGAACTTAAAAATTTAGTAGAATATTGATATGCATAATTCCTTTTTAATACTGTACTGTACGTGTATTTTTAAATAATTTACAGTATTATGCAATACAATATTAATTACAAAGTCCAACAGATATACTGTACCTACATTATACCTGACACTTCTATAAGGATGATGATGATGGTATAAAAGATCTGTGTTATACAGTACTGGGCTATTAGACTGAAGCTTTTAAGAAGGGTGATTTATCAGATTATATTGCATTGCATTATTAAGGTGATGCTTCATTTACAAGATTAAGATGAGATAAGTTTGAGGGAACTTAAAAAATTAGATGAGTTTAATTGAGGGCAGCTTCATTTAGGTCAGCAAAGCACAGTGTAGCTATACCTGGCTTAATCCAATGGAACTCTTGTTAGATTAGTCAAACTTAGTTATTGTTTGGCAGGCTTAGCTTCATTAACTTATACAAGGCAATTATAGATTGTTCCTAGGTAAAATTTTTATTATTATTTGGTGTAAGGGGTAAAGTATGGTTAAGTCACAGTAATATTGTTTGTTGAATAGCAAAATACCATCAGGTAATTATGACTAACCCACGAAGTGTAGAAAATGGCTATAAAATGGGGATGGTGATATTGAAGAATAGGCAGTTCATTTCTGCTTATGCCTTGAAATGATATGCTTACAGTAGATAGAACTAAAAAGTTGCAGCAATTGGAGAGTCTGTAATCAAATTGTTGGGGTAGATCTGTTACAGTACACAGTTTAAACTTTCGTATCCATTCAGTTGTTATCGCAACCACAGGCGTACTCATGTCATCTCCTTTGTGATATTGTGAATTATACTTATTAATGTTGTAGTCAAACAACTCATTCAAAATTCCCATTTTTGTGGCATAGAGTTTATTATATCTGTATGATGTATTTACAGTTGATATCACGGGAAGTGATAAAATTTTTGGTGAATGGAAACATCTTGCATCTCACTTCCATTGATGCAGCTGTATATATGCTCTTTTGACAAAGACATTGCATACCCTTAAGAACAATAAAAAAGAATCACTTGATTAATCTTCTCATGCTTGCATTACTTTTACTTAAAACATAAAGTGAAGGGCCACCTTGATGCATGGGTAACAGTCTATCTCCCCAAATCAAAGAATCTTTTCTCTGGCTTGTGGCAGTTGGAGGGATGTTACTTACTATAGCATGCCTGGAAAGTTGATGATGACAATAACTGCACATCCATACATGCAAATGCAATACTCATCCATAGTCAGCCAGGAAGTATGATTGTTATATATTATGGGAGTAATAATGAGTTGTCTAAATGTGCATTTATGCAAAATTTAAAGAGAGTAAGTTATGACTTTCAAGGTTCAACTGTTTACATCTTTTTGTGGGTCTTGCATATATATAACTGGTAAAATAATGACACATTAGCAGAATAACTGAGGTACATTAATATACTGTATAGATAAGTAAGGTTAAAATAAAAAACTTACACTTATAAATAATTTAGCTTCTATAGCGTTGTTCTAATAACCATTTTTGTGTAAATAATCATATAATTTATACTTTTTGTAGTATATTTATGACATTATCTTCTAAAAGTCTTTACAATTCATAACTATTTCTCATTAGAACATAGCAAATCTTTTTCACTTTGTCTTCATGTTGTAGAATGCGCAGCACTGGTTTAGTGGTTAAGATTAAGCTCTTAAAAAGTTTACACTTTGTATAAATTAACACATTATTTCAACTATAAAATGATCTCTATGTTATTAGTTACCAATGTCCATTCACTAGGATAGACAATTATATTTTTAGGTTACAGTCTTCCAACAGAGGATCTCAAATATTGTTCTTATATGACACTGTTTAGGTGATCAGTTTATACAAAGGATGTGAGTATTGTAGTGTGGGTAAACATGGGTAGTAACATTGACTTGGGGCTCTGGGGCTCCTTAACATAAGAGCTTCAATTCATTATTGCTTGCCCCTCACCTCTTTATGTTACATTTAACCTTCACAAGTTTAACTCTATAACTTCACACCAGTAAAATTTTCTACTTTGTTCTTCTTTTTTTACACAAGTAACCAACTTTTTATGGTAAAGCCATGGATGCTGTACCTGGTTCATGAGATAGTTCTCCATTAAGCTTTGATATATTAAGGTAGATTATTCTCCATAGTTTAGATGATGCCAGTCTTCTTGATGAACAACATTACCAATTATTTTAAGATTCTTCCTTTTTCTTGTTATGGCATCAAACCATATTAATGTAACAAACCTAATCCTTTTATTACAATGGAAGTGAAGCAGAGTGTATCACTGAATTTTTCACTGGTATGGATTATGCAGTATTGATTGAATTATGATTTACTGTGTACATATTTAGCACTTTGCAGGGTCTTCCATGTTTTCTCTGAGATTCATTACAAGTTTACCATGAAATAAGTCTACGTATTTAACTATTTTCCAGTAAAACTATACAACATTATGTGTGTGTGCACGCGAGTGCGTACATGAAGTGTTATTAGTAAAGGTAATTCTTTAATTCTTGTTGGATTTTGTGATTAAATTAGATATTCTTAAAAAATAAAAAATAATAATGAAATACGAATACAATCACATTTTATTACAAATAAATAAAAACAAACAAACAAAAGCTGAATATAAATACTTACTGTACATGATATACATTATATAAAGGAAAGATTATGATGAAGATACAGGTACAGTACTTGTTGTAATGTATTTCATAGATGTTTGATAAATACACAGAATATACATTATTTGCTCCTCACTTAATGAAGATCTTTTACATTTTCTCGTCAGTATTTCACATACGTATATAGCTTTGGTCTGTGCCTGTCTGCTTCTTGCTGTCTCTCTTCTTCATCATATTTACAGGTCTCAGGGCTGCTACTTTTTGCCATATAATTTATGTACCGTAAATCTATGAAGACACTGTTATTATTTTAACTTTTGTGTGTTTTTTGTTCAGGTTTTGTTATCTGTTTGAAGTTTGAGTTTTGTATGAATAAACTAATGATCCCTTTAGATAAAAAATATTACTTTAGGTAGTAAAGGGAGAAGATAATGTAGAGATGTAAAGAAGTGCAAGTTTGGCTGAATAATGATGTGAGATATAAATAGGAAAGGAGTGCATGTAAACTGCAACAAATTAATGATAATATGTCAGCAAATGGAATGATGAGCGATAAATTGAACCTCAGGGAATATATATATAGAGAGAGAGAGAGAGAGAGAGAGAGAGAGAGAGAGAGAGAGAGAGAGAGAGAGAGAGAGAGAGAGAGAGAGAGAGAGAGAGAGAGAGAGAGAGAGAGAGAGAGAGAGAGAGAGAGAGAGGAGAGAGAGAGAGAGAGAGAGAGAGAGAGAGAGAGAGAGAGAGAGAGAGAGAGAGAGAGAGAGAGAGAGAGAGAGAGAGAGAGAGAGAGAGAGAGAGAGGAGAGAGAGAGAGAGAGAGAGAGAGAGAGAGAGAGAGAGAGAGAGAGAGAGAGAGAGAGAGAGAGAGAGAGAGAGAGAGAGAGAGAGAGAGAGAGAGAGAGAGAGAGAGAGAGAGAGAGAGAGAGAGAGAGAGAGAGAGAGAGAGAGAGAGAGAGAGAGAGAGAGAGAGAGAGAGAGAGAGAGAGAGAGAGAGAGAGAGAGAGAGAGAGAGAGAGAGAGAGAGAGAGAGAGAGAGAGAGAGAGAGAGAGAGAGAGAGAGAGAGAGAGAGAGAGAGAGAGAGAGAGAGAGAGAGAGAGAGAGAGAGAGAGAGAGAGAGAGAGAGAGAGAGAGAGAGAGAGAGAGAGAGAGAGAGAGAGAGAGAGAGAGAGAGAGAGAGAGAGAGAGAGAGAGAGAGAGAGAGAGAGAGAGAGAGAGAGAGAGAGAGAGAGAGAGAGAGAGAGAGAGAGAGAGAGAGAGAGAGAGAGAGAGAGAGAGAGAGAGAGAGAGAGAGAGAGAGAGAGAGAGAGAGAGAGAGAGAGAGAGAGAGAGAGAGAGAGAGAGAGAGAGAGAGAGAGAGAGAGAGAGAGAGAGAGAGAGAGAGAGAGAGAGAGAGAGAGAGAGAGAGAGAGAGAGAGAGAGAGAGAGAGAGAGAGAGAGAGAGAGAGAGAGAGAGAGAGAGAGAGAGAGAGAGAGAGAGAGAGAGATATCATAATAGTAGTGTCAAAAGTGAACTATGTTGGGTGAATTAAAGGAAGATAATAATGCTGACACAATTAAGGAGATGTGGACAGAGAATACATCTGTGTCTGTTCAGTTAGTACAGTATAGCTATGTTAAGAGAAAGGTAAGTGAAAATTGGGTAAAGAGAGTGGATAGTACAGAGTTGGAGAGGAAGAGGGGGGAAGGGAACCATTTAGGAGCTGTAGGTTTAGGTGAAAGCTGCACTAGAAATGAGGAGGATGAACATCAAGGAAACCACCAGTGTGCATGAATGAGCAGAGAATGTAGCATCCAATGATCTTTAGGGAAGTACATTTTGTTGATGGTAGATGCTGGGACACATGGAAGGGGAGCATCAAATCAGAACACATCTTTTAATGTAGATAAAAGTGACAGTAAAAGAATAATTTAATGTAGAGCCATCTAGTTGCTTAGTAGAGAAACAACTTTTGGTTCATTATTATTTTTTCATCACAGGTATGAATGTATGGTATTATATTTGTTAAGGGGACATTAAAACATTTCAAGAGGATATACTGTACTGCATTAGTATTTGTTCTACTACAGTAGAGTGCATAACATTAGTAAGTACTAAAGGAAACTCACTTCATTCTCAAAGTAATTTTGTAGAAGAAAATAGATATATGTTTTAATGACTGCCTCTCTTAGGGAAACCTTTATTATTCTCTTAATTTTGTTTTTTAACCCAAATATCTAGGTGGAGATGATGAAATCTGTCCCTATGCAACTTTCCACCTGCTTGGATTCCGTGAGGAAATGGACCCACAACAGGCTGGCAACAACTTCCAGACATTCCCCTACCAGAATGGCCATGGCTCTCAGCAGAACTTTGTCAACTCTCCTGCTTCTAGGAGTATGGTGAGTGATATGTTACAAAGTTTAGTTTAAGTGAATGGAAAAGTTTGGTTTGAGGTATGACTCTTTGGGGAGTGGACTTCATATAAGTTTAGCCTCTTTTGTGTTTTAGAAAAATATAACTTATTATTAAACAGCAATAATTCAGTTAATTTCAGCATATGTACTTACTACAGTATTGTTTCTCTTGGAACAAGAGAGGCTAATACCTTCTTGCAATGTGCTATGGTGGAGCTAATTACCTTATGTTTATACTTTAACCATACTGCTAATAACTTGCATGAAAATATTGTTATAGTGCAGTATAAGCTTAGATGTTAGCTGAACCCTTTCTGATCATGACTGATACTTGCTGAACTTTAATGCTTTTTTTTTTTATTTTTTTTTTTACTGATTATCATTAGTACAATATAATTACTATTACTGCACTTTAAAGGAAATCAGTCACATCTGACTTCCAAAGCATATGGTAGATTTTTAATGTTCTCTTTAATTGTTTATTGTATTTTTAAATATTAACTATTAATATTGAAAATTTTGATAAAGCATCAAAATTCAGTGAAAGAAATAAAAATTGTGGTCTACAAAGAAACAGGTAAGAAAAAAGATGCTTTTTGCCTTGTGTGTGAAAATGTACAGAAGAGTGAGTGTCTTACATGTGTTTGAGAAAGGTAAAATTAACATAGAATGAGAGGCAATCATGAGGTAATGACTGTTTGTGTGCAGTATCCTGAATGTCAAAGATATTGAGGGTAATTATTCAACAGATAGGTGTAAATTTTGTATTAATAAAATAGCAAGAAAGAAAATTTTACCAGCTGCTTATACTTTTTAAAAAATCATTCATCATTTGTTAACCTGAACAGATTATTTAAGAACTTGCTTCAAAGATGCAGGAACCCAGTAGTAACCACCCCCTTCTGCGTGTCTGTCAACAGTTTTGTGTCCGCTCTTGCAACCAGTTAATACATTAAGTATGAGTTTTATATGATTTATCTGTATATGTTTGAAATTTTTATTCTATCTTCATAAATCATGTGATATATGAAGGTTAGAGCTGGTAGTGGGTTCAGCAATTCCCCTTTCCTTGACTTTTGATTTTTATTAAATAAAAATCCCTATAATTCTTAATTCACAAGAATGGCTGCTGTGCAATCTCTCTCTTTCAGTGGTGGATTTTCACTTCTTCTAGTTTTAGTTACATTCATAAATTCCCTATTAGACATGATTCTTCAGTATATCCTTGTATATGACAAAGCTCCTTTTCTGATATATTGTTTGTCACTCATTTGAATAGAAGATGACATGCATAGGGATCTTAAAAGTTAATATTATTACTTAACACATTCACATGAAGGAGCTTTGAATATCGTGTGAATAGAGATCTGCTTTTTGTTAGTGTCAAGTGCATGTCAATGTGGAGGATCCAACAAACACTGCCAACACTAGTGCTTGCTTTCTGGTTATGCTTGGTGTATTAACCCCCGGAATGTTCGCTCCGGCAGCCACGTCATGGGTCTGGCAACTACTACAGCTGCGTTACTGGAGACTATAACTGTGGCCATACCCCGAACGAAGGCCACCAGGTTGGTTAAGGCGACTTACTGTTGCTGGTGGCAGTGGAGTCACCAACAAACATGTCGCGTCATTTGTTTTGTAAATTGGTCTGTAAATTATTCTGTACCCACAGCCTGCCGCCTGGATTGTCATTTCACGCAGTTCGTGGCAAGGGCACCAGGGTCACATTTTACTCTCTGTTTAAGCTTTTAGAATTTTCTGTGTTACAGGCATCTGCCCACAGTCAACAGGAGTGCTGGCTGCCTCAGCCTACGGCACAGTTGATGTAACATTGCTCTGTGCTTTCTGCTTCACCTTGTTTGTATTCATAGTGACTTTGGCAAGGATTTGATCATTGTCTTTGCTTGATGATCAGAAATCTCACTGCCGGAGTTCATTATTTCTGTATCTTTAATTTGCTGCTATCTTCTCTCTATAGTGTAGCTTCATGTACATAAATCATTTAATGACTGCCATTATTTATCCCAGTTTTCAAAATTAAAGAGATATACCACATCATATTATTAGAGTAAAAAGTGCCTGAATATTTCAGTTAAAGCATTTTGTTAATACAACTTTCTAACATCAGTTTTGATTTAGTACTTCTGTGATTATTATTATTTTGTTTATTACAATAATATTATACTATTTGGCCTTATGGTCTAAAGGATTAAGGACGAACTTGTAATAATTATGTTGATTTTTGCTAGTTCTTTTTACATATACTGTAATGTACTGTAATGTGACGATGGAAGTAACAGAGTAAAGGTACAGTACTTGTTGCTACACTTAACTGGCAGTTTATAGGGGTCCAGTACAGGACTCTCTTGCAGGATCTTATTTTGCTCATTCTTTTCATTCTTTTGTTTCTTCTCTGTCTTTCATTTGTTTTATAAACTTTCAGAAACATTTGTATTACCCTGATGATGGTATTATTTAGCTTTTTCATTTTGACATCTGATGGGATTAGGATTCCTGTCAGATGTTTGCTACTCGGCTAATTCTTCATCATTCTCAGAGTAATAGTTTGAGAATTTCTGAATTTTTTAATTCCAATTTGTTGATTGTAAATTAATATAAGATAGCCACTATGATCACCTACATAGTCCTTGAATAGTTTATGAACCTGTATACTGTACAGTCATGACTAACATTACTGTTTTGATTGATGCCTAACACTTGATATTTGGATTGGTGTTGTTATAGAATCTCATTTCATGAAGTTTAAGCAACAAATGATGCCATAAAACACTGTAGGCAAAATAGATATGTGCACTGTTTATACTGTGTAGTAGTACCAATCAATCTATTTTGATATTTGTCAGACCACTGTCTCTGTAGTGTTGTGATTAGCACAGCAGTGTGCTGCTTTACTGGGCCATGTTTGATGCCAGGGTACACTGAGCTGCTTTCAGTGAAAGTCTGGTTGAAATGGCAAGGTAGAAAAACAAAACTCAGTCTTTTTAACCCTTCATTAATAAGACAGACTTACAGCTTACCAAGGGAACCCCTCTACATGAGGGGAAGAAATGACATATTACGCACTTACCTGCCATTCTCCCTCTATTCTTGAAGTTTTGTCTTCCTGATCCACCTCACAAAAACTGGGATAATTTTCTCCCAGTTCTTGTTCTATCAAAAGTACAACCCATTATTGACTCATCTGCATATTGTACTTGATAAATTGGGGAAAAACTTAGAAAAGGGATTACAAAAAACTTATTTGATTACAGCATATCTAGGTTTAGAAAATATATATGAGAAATTAAGCCAATTTATTATATACTAATACATTATTAATATTTCCAATAAAAACATGATACAGTACATGTATTTATATATAAAGCAGTACTTGTAACATGTATCAGCTTCTAATCTTAATAGTATTTAACATTTATTCTCTTAAATGTCCCTCAGTGTAATTATCAAATTGTGTGTGTGTGAGTGCTCTGTCTACTGTCTTGATTCTTTGTATATGGCATCATTTAGTCACTTCTGTAGATTGCAAAAACTATTCATTCTCAACTTGAGAGTTCAAAGTTCTTATCACTCAAGTGTAATACAGATATTTTTACTGTAGTTTCCTAGAATGTGGGCAGAATTCATATAGTACCACATGTATCATTATTACTAAAGATGGTGGTGGCTATTAAGTATTTTACTCTTTGTTTTCTTGCCCATTATTACATTAATTTTAAGCAAATTAGTTGATATCCAAATTAATATTTGCTGGAAATTATTTAGTATATGATTTACATTTCCCCATCTTTATACTCAGAAAAAGATCCCAGTATTCTACTAATGATCTCAACTGTGCAAATAACCAAAACTTTTGAAATGTAACTAATATTAAGTAAAACATCTCCTGATGCTGCCCCCTGTACCCTGCTCAGACTTACCAAGATGCCCCTCCCCTCTCTCATGCGTTATTAACTGGCTGACCCCTCTCCTAATTGTGCGTGTCTCTTGCTTGCAGCCTCGTCACGGGTCTGGCAACTACTACTCGTGTGTGGCTGGGGAGTATGGCTCGGGTGGTGTAAGTGTCAACTGCAGTTTTTGTATACTCCGTCCCATGGAAATGTCAGGTCTCCCTAAACTTACATGTTATGTTAATTGGTTTACTTTAAATCAGGTCTACTCAAACTTAAGTACTGTATTCTTTCAATTGGATTCTTTTAAATGTTTGTATATTAGGCATCACACTGATCATAAATTAATGTTACATATCAAAGAAACATAATATCACATGAATAACATGGAAAAGCAGTGCTTCTGCAGTAATGAATAGGACGGAGTATAATGGATCAGTCATGCTGCAATGACTGAAAACCAAACCATACTCCTCATGTTATGTGTGGATATGAAGCATTATTTAACCAACAGGAAGTCGTGGAGCAACCTGGTTTGAAAATTTGTCCCAGTGTAGCAGACATGAGTAAATAATGGTAATCTTTGTATTATCGATTATTCTGCAATGTTAATATTCAATTATGCTATACTAATTGCTTGATAATAGCTAGATAGAAGCTCATTATTAAGTAGCGTGCATGAGAAGTTTTTTATGTGCCCTCTGTTTTAACTAAGACCAACTTAACTAACATTTATGGAGGAAAAAAGTGATAAGAACTACAAGTACTGCTCATAGTACTCATAGTATGTGAATATAAGGAAACACATATTAGGACCATTAATATGTTGTGTCGTAATTAACATGACCATAATTATGTAAGATGATTTAAGGTATTAATAGCAGGTGTCCGTATTTCAGAAGTTTACAAGCGTTCCATGGCAATCTGTGGTTACTGATTGTCTTTATTTATTTAGTGCTGTTAGTGTATGGTAAATAACTCTTCTTCTTAATTTTCCAGTGTAGCACTCATGGTGAGGGGAAGTGTTTTGATATTTATTATCCAGTTTAGATTTGCTGGGTTATGTGTCCCTCTGCTTCAGTACCCTCCATCATCTGACACTCTGCTTATGTCTACAGCCCCCTAGCAGCACCTACTACTCAACTGTCCCTGGTGACATGACCACCTCACGCATGAGCAACTCTACCTTCTCCCCAACTTATGATGACCCAGCTCGTTCTGACGAGGAGAGTGACCAGTATGGCGGCTCAACATATTCTGGTGGTGGACCTTACGCTCGGGCAATTGACTCCGTGTCCCAGAGTGGAACTGCTAAACGTTTAAGTAAGTACAGTCTTAAGTTAGAGATAAAGTTATTCTATATGGCATTATTTTATTTTATTTTTTATTTACAGGGTACATTATAATTACTAAATTAAAATTATATATACAAGTGTCACAAAAGTTGTGGTGTAGGTCACATATTGATTTGCTTCAGCAGGTACCACTGTTTAAAAGAGGGTTAGGTAATATAAAATTTTAGGAATTAACTTTACACACAATAGTTATACAGTGAGTAAACTAATAAAAAGCTGCATACTTTTGTAATAAAAAAAATATTAAAGTGAAGTAATGATGATTGGACCTACCCAGATGGAGGTCCCCTTCCTGGAGCTGGTTTCTTTTGGCCTCAGGGCAGTGAGCATAGATTCTTCAGTAAGTCTACTCTTTCATCTAATATACATTAACCCCATAACAGTAACAAACTCAAGTGTGATGTGTTTAATAGGATAATTAGTAACTAATCCAAGAATAAACGCTCTAAAAATGATAAAGCAAAGAATAGTGTAAGAGTCAAATGATATGAGAGAAACAAAGGATAATACATGTATATAAAAAATATGTACTAACTTGCATAAAAGATTGTAAGCAATATGTGAACTGAAAAATGATTTGGAACTGAAGTTTGAACTACAATTTACATGATGAAATAAAGCAAGGATCAGTAAGTGGGCAAAAATCATTCTCTAGATTTGGGGATATGGAGAGCAGTTACTCACACACAAGCAGTCTTCATTGTTCCTCACCCCGTTGTTTGTCTTTCGTGAATCCGTCTTTTGAAAATCATTTAGTTTTATTGTTAAATATTTTGTTTAAAAATTATTTATACAATAATACAAACATCATAAGTACTTAAAAAGTACAGAGTTTCATCACAAAGAATCAAATTTTTTTCTTCAAATAACTGTGTCATTGTGATTTCTGCCAGCTCTGTTTTGAACTGTGATGGATTAGATTTTTTCGTTGTATTAAAGTGGTTTCTATTTTGATATTATGGCCTCTAAACGTTCAGTAAATAATACTTTTAACTTCAAAGCAAAGTGGCTAGAAGAGCAACATGACACAGGAGCATCACACCTGTGGTAAGTGTCATCCCTTAAAGGGCGGGTATATTTACCTGTGCTGTCCTCCCAGGAGAGGATATATTTTGTTTGCTTCATAGAAAGCAGAGCAAATTGCGTGTCATATGAGATCAAACACCTTCAGTAATCAAGGCTTTATTCAACTCATAAATCCATATACATCTGCAACAGAACAAAACAAAACCCATTTAGAACAAGAGAACATTTAGAGTAAAGGTAAACACAAACATAATTTATTCCATAGTATGACATTGCATAAGATAATGTTCAAATACATGTAGAATGCACCCTAATTCAGAGAATTCTTTCTCTTTTTTCTTTTACACCATTAGAAAGATTTGTTTTCAATCAGTTTATATTTAGTTAATAAATGCAAAAAATAATAATTTCTTGCTGAAATCACAAGTTGAGCTGTACATGTTTTTCCGGCTCTGGAGCGAGCCACCGTCGTCATTAGAGTAACCTCTCAAGATGCATCTTTATTAATTAAATTTCTTAATAAGACGTTACTGTATATTGATACATTTTGTAAGTTACCTGTATTACAGTACTTATTGTAAAAATATTGAGTAAAATGTCAAATACAGTAGTTTATGTTCATTGTTTATATACATTTTACATGTATTTTATGTAATGTAATGTAATAATTGACCTCGTTGTTCGTCATTTCATTGTTTGTCATAGTCCTCAGGAATGCATCCCGACAAATAGTTAAGGTTCAATGTACCGTATTTCATTATGTGACTTTCAAGAAAAGATGTTTCAGTTTTATTTGCTGTTCATTTAGGGGTTGGAAGAAATGTTGTGTGTGATGAAGCTGGATAGACCCATTAATTAAATTTTATTTCAAGGGTTATAAGAATATTGTAAACTACTTAGGATGAAACTTGGAGGATAAGCAAAGGTATAAAGGTATGTTTTGCAATCATAAAACAAACAAACATACAGAACATGTACAGTACTTGTGATATTTATGTATTTAAAATTTTGAGATATTACGCTCAAGTAGGGATCACTTTTCAAATTAGAAATAGCAATCAGAAACTGGACAGTGATATTTTTTTTTAGGTAGCAGAAGTTAAGACCATTGGTACCCAAAGTATGAATGTTACAGTTTTGTGGCTTGAATACTGTGATTTGAAAAATAGTTTATACGACTGCAGAGGTCATATGTCCGGGTGGTCGTAAGTCGATTTTATAATCAGTATTGTATAGTAGTTAAAACTTGTGAATTTTCAGTATACGTAGTACTTGTGTGATGGGTATACCATATTGAAATATTGGAGCCTTGTTGTACAGTAGAAGGAGGACACCACAGCAAGCCTCATTTGTTTTAGCACTTAGAATAAATTAATGGCAATGAATGAAAGCGAATTGTTTTGGTCACTGGGTGCTCTGGTGGGCAAGAGTTTGTAAGAAATAAATGTAGTGCTGGGATGGGAGTAAAGGATGAGTATGTTTATAAAAAATAAATGAATGAAAAGTTGACTGACTGACTGACTGAGATCATGATGAAATCTGAATTACAGTACTGTAGCTAATTATGTAAGTTAGGTTAGATAAATTTGGTTAAGGTTAAATTTGGATATGTTTAAGGAGGTTTGGTTAGATGAGGTTAAGGTAGGTTAGGTATGTTTTTTCATTTGGTTTAAATTTTGGTAGGTGGTGTTAGGTAAACATGCTATAGGCTAGTCTTGAATAAACTCAGTAAATACTGTAATTTTATACTATATTTTACTCAGGTGGATAAAGAGAGAGGAAGGAGAGGTAAAAGGACTGGGTTAGGAGTGTGTTGGAGGAGGAAGTTATAAACAACTGCACTTAATAGAACTGTTGTTTAATTTTGTGAAGAAATTATTGCATGACTTAAGTTATTTGTAAATATCTATATAACACACATGATTGACTTATAACCACTTTTTTTTATGAATAATTTATACTGTATTGCTTAATTCAATCAAGAGTTTTTAAAGGAACTGATGCTAATGAATGATGTGTTTAATAAAATGAAAAACAATTAAATCTTGTCTTATGCCTTATTACAGCTTCCACCAAATGTCTACATGCAAATTATATCATAGGACAATAAAATATTCAATCTAACCCTGAGTTGCTGTTACAGTGAACCGCGGCAGCACCTCTGGCAGCACAGGCCATGGATCACCCGAGCCTCCTCCTCCACCTCCTCCACGTAATGGAGATCTTCCTCTTGACTCCTCTGGCCTTGCCTCGTCCTTGAATGACTCAAACAATTCCACAGCCTCCAATCAGTTCTCTGAGGCTGAGTGCGATCATGATCTTGTTCAGCGTAACTATGGAGGTTTGTAAAATTTTGGTGATATACAGACACAAGTCAGTCATATTTACCGTGTTGATGGTAAGAATATGTACAGTAGTATAAAATGTAGTATCTGCACTAGCATTAGAGTTATTTCTAAGAATTAGTAATATTTTGTATGTCACACCCTCTTATGAGGATGAATTATATAATTATACACAGTAAGTGTGTGTGTAAGAGAGGGAGAGACATTATATTTATTGCATTGCAGGTTTTCTAAGATAGTGTTTAAAAATACAGTCATGAAAAATAATTTGAAAATAACCTCTATATCAGTGAGAGATAAGCTTGAAGAAGGAATGTACTGTACATTATTATCATGTTTTATGTGTGGTCTCAAAAGTGAATTCTTTCATAGGGTTTGTAAAATAATGGAACATATTCAGGGATTCTTTGTTTAATATGAAAATATATATCATATTTTAAATTCTAAGTCAAGTGTAATATATCCACAGAGAAACATAGCGTACAAGCCACTCCAGGTATGTCTGGTAAAACAAAGTATCACTCTCCAGATTTTGGAATGACATAAATCACATCCATGGCTCAAGCCCAACTGTAGACCATCCATTCTGCTTGAATGCCTTAGATATTTACTGAGCAGTGCTATGCATTGCCTTTAGTAATAGAGACAATATTATTGCCCAAACAGTGTTTATTGATGTGAAGCTATGAATACCCTCATGGAATTGATTTAAATCCTCTGCAAGAATGCTTTGAAAGGCTCTTTTTTCAGTTGTACATACTATGATAATGAGCTGAACAGTTTTTGAAACATTTTGATTTAGATGAAAGTTTTATAGATCTGCTTGCATTCTTTTGACATTTGTTTAGTATATATGCTGTACAACTGTTTAATATTTTAGTTTGTAGAGATAAGGTGCAAGGGAATGCAAATAGGTATTCATGGGAATATTAATTGATCCTTAAGGGAATATGAATGTACAGTGAAGGAAATATTAACATGTTTAGGTGTCTGTATATTTCGGGGACTATACATAGATATTGAATAAATGTAAATGGAAGTTTAAAAATATTTTAATAAATTTTTGATGGAATATTAATAGTTATTAAAGGAAAAATAACTGATATTTCAGGGGGTATGAAGAGATGTTTGTGGGAATAGTAACTGATGTTTAAGGACTGATTAGAATGTTTGAAAGTAACTTAGGAAATAGAGAAACAAGTCACATATGGCTTAAAAGCTTAGGAAGTACTGGAAGTAAATGTGAAGATCTTTGATTCATTTTAAAGACTGGATATGATGGAAGGGGGGAATTTATATTTTGTGTTTTGTAAAGAATAAGTGTTACTCAGGGTGTAATGAATAGCTGCGAGGGATTTTGGGTGTCTGTAATTAGACCCAAATAGGCAATTTACTAATAGCTGAAGGGCACGTGTGATAGATACAGAGTAGAATAATCAATAAAAAAATATTAATATTAGATACTTCGATGGAAAATGTGGTAGTGGGTCATTTATTCAAGTCACAGAGATGCTAACGCATGTTTCATGTCTTCTTCACATTTATGACGTGCATCAGTCCTAGGTGAAATGTGATCATTCATACCACTTTGACAATGGCATCTTGAGTTGATCCACCGATTAATCCAATATTGTCCATTCCTGTTACAACTGTTGTTCCAAAAGGAAGGCATGGCTGTAAAGGTTACCACTTAAGGCTGAAAGGTAGCAAGTACCATTGTGACATCAGCTGACTGAGAGCACAAACCCAATGTTTCTTGGCCACACTGGCATTCGTTCAAGCTGCCTCAGGATATGATTAAGACATCAAGGTCTTACCATACTATTTTATATTATTTGGAATATATAAGGGATCTTTTTCTTTCTTTTTTATCCCCTCTGTGGCACTTTGCCACACGCACACTCTAGGCATTATTCGTTAAAGCACAGTTGGTTTAGTCATTTTTATAATGTGTTACAAGTTTCATTTTTCTTTATTAACAACCTACTTACATTTTGCTGTTGTGTCACTTACATAGGGCTGATAGACTTCCCACTGTGGCCAGCAGGTACACAAATTGTAATTCTGTCTTTAATTTATTAATCATAATTTTTATCACTGGGCTTGAATAATAGTTTGTGGTAGGAGGAAGCTCAATTTAGCTTTAGTAAAAGTACTTTTCTCACTCGGGATTTGGGAAGAAGAATCCCCAAGATTAATGCTATTAGAAGTGGGTCACTTTTGTCTCCTTTGATCCTTCTCTTTGCTGGTTAAGCTTTAGGTCATAAGAAATTTCTCATAAAAGATGAGACTGTCAGTTTTGACCCTAAGCAGGTATTTTCTCTGTATGAATGAAGTCTCATCTGTCTATGTTTTGCTGTCATTCTTTATTTTCACCTTTATAGAGTTTTTTTATTTATTTAATATATATATATATACTGTGTATATATATATATATATATATATATATATATATATATATATATATATATATATATATATATATATATATATATATATATATATATATATATATATGTGTGTGTGTGTGTGATGATAATAATAATTATATTAATAATAATAATAATAATAATAATAATAATAATAATAATAATAATAAAGAACCATGAAGAAATACAAAAATAAAAAGATCAATAGTGAGAAACAATATATGTATGTTGCGTTGTCAATAGTAAGAGAAACAATTGATGCCCTGCAATTGTGTGTAAATGAGGCAAAAAGTCAGATCAGCAACCTTGGACTTGGTCACAATTTTCGTGATGCCATATGGCAGCAGGGTCTACCATTAGACAATGCATTATGCTTCCAATATCTTCCCAGGCGGTAGTACCTCCCTGTTTGGTAGTTTCATTAGTTAAAGATTTTAAATAAGAAACATAAGCCAGAAACATCCATTCTACATCACACAGATTAATGATAATATGATTCAACTCACACATCCAGGCCTCACCCTGAGGGGTATGTCAGTCCATACAGTTAATACAGATGGAAAATGTGGTACTTGGGAATTTGTAAGGTTAGTTTTGTATACCTGTACATGTATTTCACCATAGATATGTGGTGGTCTGCCTTGTTGGGATGTATTGTCATATTGTCATCTTTCTCTGTCTCTTTGTTTCTATCTGGCTTTAGAATTATGAGTTACGAAGTATGGTTGTGGGTCATACATGTAGCCTTGGCAACTTGGATATTCTTCCTCCTCCCAATGAATGTGTATTAGCATGAAGTATGGTAGGCTTGAATGGTCATGGAAATTCCAATATGGCTGATGGACAACAGACAGGCAGTTTGCTTATCTTGCTCAACTGTTGTGATACCAAGATTTGTCACCTTTCAGCCTCAACTGGTAGCCTCTGCAACCAACTTCCTTTTTGGATGATGATTGTGACAAGAAGATATTCGAATAATCTTAATGGGGCTTAACATCACATTTTGCTGGGAATATTCAAAATTCATCTAATCTGAACTTTGTCATAAAATGGGATTTTTGCGATACATCCACCATTTTTTTTGCATCTTGTAATATACAATATCAAAATTATGTTTCATACTGGACAAAAAAATACAAAATTATAGTTTCTACGGTAACTAAAATCTCATTTACAGTCACTTAATTATTGTCTACCCAAGAAGGGTCATACTCATAGGTGACTAGACCAAAATGTACAAGATACTGTACAGGTTAAACCTCTATTTGTGATGGATTTAGGTTCCTGAAAACCCAATTGCAGGTCGAAATATAGTAAATTAGGTTCATTATAACAAGGGGTTTAATGGGATAGGTTCCTGGCCAGTCAGACATTAATATGCATCACTGAAGAAAAACCCCTAGAATACTGCTAATACTACAACATAATTACCGTAAACAACATTCCAGTCATCTAGTTGTCATCACATGTCCTCTTCAAGGCTAAGGTGACTCTTAAGGTGGAGCGGAGACATCAATGCGAGTCCCACACAGACTTTGGAGAGTCTGAAGAGTGGGGACTGGAGGTGTAGCCTTAATTTTGGCTTTAAAGATGGTGAGCAAAATGCTTGCCAGATATTTTCAAAGTTTCAATGCTCACTTCACAGTCACTAAAACATGGTAATAATGGTGGGGACTCGATTCTTTTATGAAAAAAATTAGAAATGTTGCAATGGAGGTGTGGTAGGGGATTAGTTGGTTTCATGTTACCGACCTGACCTCATCAATGTATGGTAGAGGTGGGGTGGGGTGGTCCCATGCAATGTTAGGTTACCCAGTCTCAGGGTATTAGTGGGTCTCATGACCTGAAGATGTCTTGATTAAAGACTAAAACTATGTAGCAAATATATTTATGGCTAGTAAAAAATTTAAAAAAATTTATTCACAACATCTGCTCTATTTGTGTTAGAGAAATGAATTTGGTACTACAGATATTTCATATATGGAGATGCTTTCCTGATGATGTTTTTTTTACCTATGAGATATATACTGTAATGTACAGGTATATTAAGGGTACAGGTATTAATAAGCACAGATTATTACAGTAACATAACTTTACTAATTAATGAATAACAAATAAACATTATTGTATTGTGAATGAGTTACAGTGGAATTAGTGAAAGAGCCAGGAGTTGGAAAGGGGAGGTGAACCTACCCCACTTCAATATGCCCTTTACTGCAGCATCTGTTAATTGTGATAGAGAGATGAACTTGATACCATAATGATCCTGAATAAATTCTCTACTAGACTTTTCCAATAAAAGATCCTAAAACAAATTATTTTGACAAGATATAATGATGGGGATTAAATTCTTTCATGAAAAACACAAGAAATATCAATACCATAGTCTATAAAATCAGTTCTAATTAAGTTAGAAACACTTTTTTTTACTCAAATAATCCTGAATAATTTATCAAAAGGTATGGTTAAATAAAAATATTTAAAAAGCTAAAAATCTGTATGGTATGGGCATACGAGGCACCTCGTGAATGGAGCTGTGTGTGTCACAGTGGAATCCTCCACCGTTTTCCCCAAGTCTAAGCAACGCATCTCACATGTACGCACACAAGAACTGTACAGTGGTCCCTCGATTAACGAACCCAATTAGTTCCACAGAGTCGTTCGTTAACTGAAAATTCGTTAACCGAATCTATTATTTCAATGGAATATTGGGTAATTGGTTCCAACTCACAGAAAAAGTATACTGTACATACAAAGTACTGTATACTGGTAATAAAATTAACAAAACATTAAATATAAACTAAATGCAGTACTGTACTGTACAGTATACTGTACAATAATAAATAAAAAACAATAGAATACTGTATTTTAACTTTGAGGTGTATGTGTCGTATTCCCGGCAGCTTTGTTTACATATCAAACAGCTGATTGTAGAGGCAGTCGATGATGACATGCCATATTCTTTACAGAGTGCATTGGTTCTATTGCCTTCTTCATGTTTCATAATAATTTCTGCACTGTATGTTATCAATATGTTAACTAAATTTCAGAATGGCCAATAATTTTA